AAGTTTGATGTTTCTATACCGATTTCTATGATTCTTTTTTTATTGAATAGGTAATAATGTTAACTTTTTTGAATTAGGGATGAGTGAGAGTATTATAAACGTAAGAGTAAACAAATATAATCAGAATGCTCCGAACTGCTAAGCTATCAGGAGTTACACGTGTTATTGTAAGTCAACCATAAAAGATAGACATATGCTGTTGCAAGATATTTTTTAGAAAATTTTATGTAGAATATTTCCGTCATACATAATTTCTATGTAATTTTAACTATTAAGGCTGCGCACGCGACGGAAGCTTAAAAAATGGAGTAACTTCTCCCGTTTTCCCAACATTTCCCTTCATTACTCTGCTCCTATTGATTGTAGCGTGATGAAAAGTATACTATAACCTGCCCAGGAGTATGTAGAATAATTGTATCAAGTTTTGTTAAAATCCGTCGAGTAGTTTTTGTTTCTATAAGGAACATACACACAGACAGACAGACAAAAATTTTACTGATTGCATTTTTGGCATCAGTATTGATCACTAATCACCCCCTGATAGTTATTTTGAAAATATATTTCATGTACAGAATTGACCCCTCTACAGATTTATTATAAGTATAGATAATGATTTAGCATTTTTGGTAAACAGGGATTCGTTAATCGGTAATTTAAACATACTTATTCTTATATATAACTTATATATTATAAACTTTGCTTTGGTGATTGCATAATAATTTAATTTATCTAAGGCAGTTGCCACCAGCGTCCAAAACAACAGACGGGAATTGTTGCTTTCGTCAACCTGTGACATTAACATCATTGATTGATATTGTATAGAGGGTGATCAACAACATTTGAAGTTAACCTCTGGCGTCTACATATTTGGTTTCTGTGAATTATGTAGGTATATCAATTTAAGAGACTAGGATATGACACTGTATTTGTGTATATCATAATCTTAGAGCCGGACGTTGACATTACAATGCAGCCACTGCCAATTTTAGACAGTCGACGAATAAAAGTAAATGAATTTCAATTTATTTCGAAACAACTAAATAGAACATAAGCAAAAGATGACTTGTTGAATCTATAATAGTTAACTATAAAATTTACAATCATTAGATATATAGGTAACGACTTGATTTAACTCAACACATTTTTGCGAAAATTGAGGCCCATCTGTAGCCTTGACCCTACTGGTAAGTACTCTATGGCTTAATAAATCAGTCGTATAGACCACCGCAAGGTACTTAATAATTCCCGCGATATTAATTTACTTACTGAAGTGACAAGACTGCGGTATATGCAGTCTTATAATCCTAACTAAAAAGTGTGAAATAAAAAAGATAAATTTAAAAAATCAAAAAACCCGACTGCTAAAATATTACTTGAGATAAAAACAGAAAATAAAAAAACAAGTCCAGCAGGTAGTCTATAATTCTGTTAAGTAAGGAACAAAGCTACTTTAACAGTCAGGACCCATTATTGAAAATTTTTATCTACACTTGAATATGTAATGGGTAACAATCACATTTTTGTACAGTTACTTATCAAAAAACACGTATATTACAATACTAATACAGAAGATTCCTTAATCTTTTCACACATTATGAGACACACATACATGTGTGTGAAAAGGTTTGTGAGTATTTCCCAAAAAATGCATTCTTTATTTTATGTTTTCACGTTGAATCTTTCGATTTTGGCGTTTGACGCAGAAGATCCAACCTTTAGCAAGCTATTACTCCGTCAGTACCTATTGGGTCTTGTGATATTTAAAAGTACTTTGTTTGTTTTTTTATAAGTTACCATTTTACTCCAAACGATTTTTTTCATTAAATACTTTTTTTGAAAGTTATTTATGAAATACCGCATGAAAACGGGTTATTTCTGTTTAAAAATAGACTTCCACTGTCGAATAAGTCGAAAAGTATGGACTTTCAGTAAAAACATTACAAAATAAAAGTCAGTATATCTATTCCCACTTATTTTAATAAAAAAATATTCATATCGAGAAGGGGGTCAATCTCTAGGGAAATAGCAACCCACGTCACCGCACATTATAGATTTTGAAGTAGAGGACGAGTCTCTCCAAATTCTGGCGTAAATTGGTGCTGTTTGACAGAATTGCCAGGTTAACCTCCACCTGTTTAGGTCTTTTTGGAATTCTCTAGGAAGTGTAAGATTAACATCAAGATATGACTTTCAAAGGCAGTATTAAAAATCACAAAAATAACAGCAACAAGATTATCTGAACCTGCAAAAGGGCAACAAGTATCCCAGCAGGCAGAAATAATATAAAATATGAAATTCAATAAATTTTAAAAAATAATACCCAAGTTGCTTCTGTTTTAGGATTCATTTAAACATTTTTTTGATATAGTGCATGATTTTTTATGTATGATGCAAAAAATAACATGAACTTTTCCCAGCGTCTTAAAATCGTTGTGAGTGAAATTAAATTTTCTCTTTTAATGACCTAATAAAAAACATGGGATTGATAAAATTCAAAGCATAACATACACATGACATGGCTGCGATTTTGTCGATGTTTCTGATGCTGCTAGATGCCCAAATCTAAAGAAAAGTTTACTAGAAAAACATCCACGCGGACCAGGCAGCAGACGGGACCTTCCGGTCTGTAAGAATTTGATTTCGAAAACAAAGAAAATTTTATAAAATATTATAAAAATAATTTACTTAACAACCTATCAAGCTTTTGAATTCTCGACAACTTGATGACATTACCTATGTTGTTTTTAAAAGTGTAAAGGACTCAGGAACTCCTATTGAATTAAAAAGATTTCTAAATTACGTAATTTATAAAACTGCTAATTTATAATTCCACTGATCATTCTTTAAGATAATTGATTCTTGCAAGATTGGAATTACTAAGCAAGAATGCAGTTACAACTAGATAAAGGTGCCTAATGATGAATAAATCATAAACGCAGGTAAACGCCAGCTTAATAGGTAGGTTCCTATTTTTTTTCTGTTCAAATTCAAATTCAAACTCATTTATTCAGTCTAGGCTGTTACAAGCTCTTGTGAAAGTCAAACGCTACGCCATCGGTTCGTAAATCTACGACGGGAGACCTTGTACTGAGAAGAACCGGCAAGAAACTCAGCAAGGGCTATTTTTTTCTCCCTGTTTTGTTTCACACAGTGTCGTCAATTGAAAGATGACATCAAAAATTGAATACATGTGTTGATGTCAACTTCCATCACATTGATATTATTAATTAACAAAAGTTAAGTATAACTAGGTACTATTTTTAAATTTAGAAGTGGCGATTAAACAATTTTCAACCAAATTAGCAAAGTAAAACGACAGTCTATTATGTTAAGCCCAAGGTGACTTATCATTTATGAAATCTTTTACAGTATAGTAACCTTTCTTAAGGAGACATGTTTTTATACACACTTTAAACTTATTAAAAGGGAAATTAATTATTTCTTTTGGTATTTTATTATAGTAACTTATACCTTGACCCACAAATGAACCAAGAACCTTTTGGAGTCTCAATGGTGGCAATTTGAGTTTATCTTTATTTCTGGTATTGAAATTATGTACATCATCGCGCCTCGTATATAAATTTATGTTCTGACGCACAAACAATATACAATTGTAAATGTATTGAGAGGCAACAGTCATTATACCTATTTCTTTAAATTTATCCCTAAGAGAAGTTCGAGATCCCAAGCGGTAAATAGCTCTTATAGCTCGTTTTTGAAGAATAAAAACTGTTTCAATGTCTGCGGCCGTGCCCCATAATAGAATGCCATACGACATAATGCTGTGAAAGTAGCTGAAGTATATTGTCCTAGCAGTGTCGACATCTGTAAGCCGTCTTATTTTATAAATTGCATAAGCAGCAGAACTTAGTTTACCGGCTAGTGTTGTAATGTGAGGGTTCCATTGAAGTTTGTGGTCTAGTGTTACGCCTAAGAAAACGGTTGTATCGACTAAAATTAGTTTTTCACCATTTAGAATTATATCCCCCATTTCAACATGCTTTACATTCGGCAAAGTAAATTTCACACATTTAGTTTTGCTCGCATTCAGTTTAAGATTATTAGAAGAGAACCAGTGAAGTAGTGTTATCTATTAAAGTGATGAACTACAATAGAGTTGACTTGTTACTTGGCACTTTTTTTTGCTAAGCGCGTGTTTATAAAGTGAGTCATCCTATCCAAGGCATCCCGCGATCCCGTCTCGCTACAGTTTTGAAGAAACTGGCACTGCCGATGTCCAAGATAGATGATACGTAGGGACCTCATAAACGTTTATAAATCTTCTAGGCGATTAAACTCATCCAAAAGTTTGTATTAGTTATGTAAACAAGTAATAAATTACATGTTGAATAAAGAAAATTTATAACTGTGGATATAGTGTCACAATGGTATCACGATAGGGAATCTGTTTATTAATTTTATGAAAATCTATGAATATTTATTTGAAGTGTTTCGTAGTGTCCTTCGAATCTAATTCTAGAGACTGCATTCGGTCACAACAATTGACAAACTAAAGCTAATTCTGTGTGATGTGACTTGAAGAAACAAACTTGTCATTTAAACCGAAGTCTTCGAATGCGGCGCATAAATTGTAGTTGTAGCTTAAGACGACGTGTATCCTAAAAACAATTATTGTTCTTAATCGAATAGATACTCGCAATAAGGTCATAATTCCAGTGTGACCGCGTTGCTTATTATTATTATTTTATTATTCAAAAGGAGTTTTCAAGATTCATGCCATTCAGGATATGTCATCTCCACCCCGCTTTACAATGACGAATATAATTGACACCCAACAAAAATAACGCAATGAATAAGGCACTCTTATTTAGGGAGATGTAGATCACCATAAGCAGAATTGGTAGGCAGTGAAATGATTCATCAATTAAATTACGTATAGGTAGTGTACTGGCATCGTGAGGCACTGCTACCATCTCGGTGAGGAAAATCGACTTGGAATGAGCGAGAAGCAAAGTGTGGGCCGAGTGACGCCGAGCGAGTCTGCGACAGCGTTCGAACGTGAGGCTATTTAAAACTGTGCGCAGGCCCCTTGGCGCCGAGTCGACAACTAATGATCAGTGCTGCTCTGTCTACCGAGTGCGTTACAACACTGTGAACTGTGTTTACACAAGAAGCAATCCCGTCAGTGTTTGTTTAGTTACAGAAGTTTCTACTATACACGTGAAAATGGCTGACAGTGGTCTCAAGAGAAATATTCCCATCAAACTTGGTGACTTTTCTGTCATCGACACCGAATTCTCAAGCATCAGGGAAAGGTTCGACGCCGAAATGAGGAAGATGGAAGAGGAGATGAGCAAATTCAGATCAGAACTCATGAACAGAGAAAGCAATAATTTCTTCAAGAGCACAACAAGGTATTTATTTAAATCTGAATACACATCCAATATAAATATTACTAATGAGTTTGTTTAATTTTCTGCTTATTCTTAGTACTTACTTACTTACCTTATAAAATTCATTAGTTTTTCTACCTTCATAAATAATAATAAATTTTAATAAAAGTAAATGAAAATTAAAGTTGCTTTACAAATACTTTGAAATTCTTTAAAGTAATATTTAGGTTTATCGATTTGTCGCACTGGATATTATTGATTGAACCATGGTCGTATGAATAAGTTGCATTATTATTCCAATACGACTACATTACCGGTTCAGAACCGGTGTTTTCCAAAAAGGGAATCTTGAATTAATCAGTGTGGGGGTTTCGCAAGAGAGTCGGCCCACTGTAGGTGACCTCGACGTGTCCGTACGAAAGTTTTAAATTCAAAACCCATTATTCGGGATCATTCCGCGGAACGGTATCCACTGCAGACATCTCAGTCGCGTCCATTTAAAGCGTGCAGCGATACGTAAGCCCGACGCGGGATGATGTCATAAATAGAAATAGCGTCCGCACGCAGCGCGCCGGCTCTGCACGAGAACGTTTTGTTGCTAAAACACAAAAATGTGTGAAAATATTGTAAACACGCATTGTATGTATGGCATTACACAACGTCCGCTAATTAATCCCACATCGCTCAGGGAAACCACTACCCATAGCATTATTATTAAAGTTTCCTCAATAGTTTCACTAGCTGCATTTGCAATTTTTAAATTCTAATCCCTTAAGAATTGTAATAAGATCCATGTCCTGTAACGAGTTTTCGTCGCAACTGGTTTCGAACATTTCAATTATCGCCGCGTCGATCGCAGGGTGTTTTTGGAGTTATGTTCGCGCAGACGCCCTGAAAGTTATGTTTACAGCAAGTATACATGACCTAGTTGGAGCGAATTGGTAACGTTTCAAAAACTAGTACATGCACGCTACTGTGACGCAACATTCTGCTAACTCAGCTGTAGGTGAGACGCAGAAAAATAAATAACACTTGGCGCCGGTCAATGTTAAGTCGCGGTTTGAAAGAGTCAACACCAACCAGCGATTAACGAAGGACGAAAAATGTAAACAGCGTCAATGGATGTCGTCATCAAACATTTTTAGTATGTTGCTCAGTAACTGATTCAAGTGTGGGCATACGACTACTGGTCCGCCCATACTCATGCTGTGCATGTCATAATCGTGTGGGCTGATTTAAGTAAAGCAAGGAGCGAGCAATTCTGATTATGCATGCTTATTTGGCATAATCATTCAGATTAGAATTTAACAAGACGTTAAAAATCGTGTAGGTAGTACACGCTGTTAAAAAGTATTGACGTCACCTCGTGCAGTTGATACACGACAACACACAGCCTTTAGGTATCTATATACTTATTGTCTTACGAATACAAGTATTTTATTTAAAACGCGACATATTCATATCGCTATATAAGTATTCGATATAGCAACAGCCATTATAAATTTAAATATATTTGCTTATTTAACCTTACTCTATCTATTGTATGAAATCATTATTTGTTTAAGTACCTATTGAAGTTGTACTTTATTTTTATAATGTTATGGTTAACTATTCAGTTTTGCTTTCCTGAATACAAAAGACGTTTAGAGCCATGTAGTTATCGGTTTTTACTCCATCCCTAAAAGGCTTAGGCTTAATATGTATTTCTATATAAATATACTTGTATATTTACAGTATATGTATTCTATCCGTTACCCTAGTATCCCATAACACAAGCCTTACATGCTTACTTTGGGGCTAGGCTAATTGGTGTCTTGGTGTGAGTGTTGGAAATATTTATTATGAGAATTTCATAATGCAACAAAAAAAAATTAACGATGCTGGATGACATACGAGGCTAGTCATCAAAAGAGATTTAACGAATCATTAATCGAGACTTCATGGATATTCTTAATATTAATGTGCCTATTGCAAAGCAGCTTTAAAATTAATAATGGAACCCTTGAAAATATTCTAATAAGAATGAAAAATAACTTTCCGCTTTTAATCTACAACTAAGTGTTTCAGATTTGAGTGTGGCATATTTTTAAAAAACATTACCTCAGATCCTTGTAACTTTTGACCTTTGTATTGGTAACATGATGATTTCTGAAATCAGGGCTTTATTTAAGGCAGGTCAGGTGGGCACAGAGGTCACCAAACCGCGGGAGGCATCGGCTAATCGTAATGATCCGGTCCAGGTTTAGGGGCCTCCGTTGCTTCGTTGTCCCGGGGCCTCCACACCTCTAAATTCGGCCTTGTCAGAAATACTAGAGCTTGATAGACTAACAACAAATATTGCTTTTTGCATGTCTTACAATATCGAAACTGTTTCCTCCGGAGGAGTAACCAAGTCATCAGAAAGGTAAATTTATCTTCAAACGCACTATCACAATATGATATGTTTATGTGTTGCATGTTACGTATCTGTGTAGCTCTTATTAGTATTATTTGTCTTCTTATCTTTGTTTGGTTTTGTCTTAATACTTAATATCGTAAAAAAAACTAGATTTCACTTCTATCATTCGTGCTCATTGTACAAATAATTTTTAACATAAAGAAAGATAGGACATCCACGCGTAGGATTTGTCCGTAAATACAAGTTTTAATTAGTTAAGTACTTTTGCCTACACGGTAATAACAATCCTTAATACTATATGATAAAATAAATACAGTGTATGCAATAGATCTTTTATATAAACTAGTAAAAGTTTGAAATTGAGTATACCTGCCTTAGGCCGTATACAGAAAGAAAGCCGAAAGCCGATCCTTCCTACATAAAGGAAGCCGATTAAAGCAGATCAAGCAAAATGTCAGACTCATCGGACGATGATTTGGTTTTGTTAGAAAATGTTTATTTAAAAATGCGAAAAACAGCTATACATCATATAAATAGAGAAAGGAAACGTTTCGGAGAATACCATCATTTATTTGTAAAAAAAAAAATTGATGAACAAAGATTTTATACATATACAAGAATGATTCAAGAAACATTTTATTACATTTTGGATTTAGTGAAAAACCGTTTGATGAAAAATTGGGGCAATTGGCATAAACAACCAATCCTTCCAGAAGAAAGACTTGTTGTCACCATTCGGTAAGTACGAAACAAATAATTTTAGCGCTTAGTTAAGAAAAGATAAAGTTATTAGATTTATAAAAAGATTATAACTTAGATTGATTTAATCTAAGGATAATAATTCAAATACAAATTATTTATTATTCGGACCAGCGCGTGTCGGCGCCGGTCCATAGAAAAAGGATCAGCGCCAATAGGCGCCGATAAGCGCCGATCGGCTTTCTTTCTGCATACGGCCTTAGAATTACGAATTTAGTAATTACTTAAAATTACGAACCGAGGTTAATTTTAACGAAGTAACTATTATTTTCTTCCATTGACTTATAAATTTCTTAAAAATCCTTACGGAAAAGTAATTCGCACAATTGTCAGTAGCAAGCAAGTGTTATAATGTGAAATGGGATGTTTTCCTAGTGGGATTCAAATACGTATATATAGCATCGTAGAACCAAATACATAAATTTATTTGCTAAAACAACAGCGTTACAATAATTGTAAAAGTTCCTAATATATAAGCCTTAGGTAATGAATTGGAGATCTAATTGGCGAAACCAGCGATACATTCAAGTTATGTAAGCGTGAATATAAATTAAGTAACTTACTTCCTTAGCAAAATAAATCATGATTGTTTACGACATTTCTCCATTACCGTGAGGTTACTGACAGGCACGACACGACAACTAAAGCCAACATCTAAAATTTAAAGTGTCCTCTTTGACACTGCGGGTAATAAAACTTGCAACTTCACGAGAAATATTTAAAATAAACTGCAGAGCAGTAATAAAGAGAATTAATGTTTTGCGATGCGGGCGTCTGACGTAGGTATAATTTTAATTGTGATATAATTTCGGTTGCATCATATTCAAATTTTACGACGAAATGTGTTTGTAGCATACATGAGTTGCCTTTCTTTGCATCCTTGCTGTGTTTGTGAAGTTATAAAGGCAAAGGATAAACGCCCAAGCTTTTGAATATATTATATTAACAGCGGGTGATTGTCGCAGAGACAATAGGTAGGTGGGAAGGTACTGGGAAGACTTACGGAATGTGCTAAATAAGAGACAGAAACTTTTAATTCATATGTAAAGAGTAAGTTGGGGACGACAACGTTTTATTTAATAATATGATATACAAGTTGGTAGTAAAAGTTGGGACGTTGGAAACAGGAAATAAGAAGAAAGATAACCCTTCATTAAAATGTAAGTGGGTCTTTATTCCGTCACCACGGTATTGTAATTAATTCTGTTATAGTAGTTACCCACTTAGCACATAAAACATGAGAAAATTTCTAAATCATCTAGATATTCTGACGTGAGTACATAATTGGTAACAAATAACATTGGTAATGCCCACATACTACTTACAATATCGGTGAGCTCATTTGTTGACATTGGCCTTGTATCTGCATTCAGGGGCATGACATCAGTTGTGTACCGATGATAATCAATCGGAAATATGTATACCTATGCAATGAACAGGTACATTTTGTCAGCATTAAAAACCGAGCCTAAAAATATCCAATTTTAAATATTTAGGTATTAGTTTCGTACGATAGTGCAATGAGGAAACGGTGATCATAGACTTGGGAAAACTATTTTCAATGCTAATTTCTTGGTCACGATGCGGATCTCTATAAATATATTGCATAAGTAAATCCACCTCTGCTAACAGATCACGTGCAAAAATAAAAACATTGCATAATTCCATCCACCTAATCCAGCAGAAGAAATCGACCATAAAACTTGGTGAATATGGTGCTTGAGTAGTTTTTAAGTCTAGGTATTTCTTGACTGGGGTCATTGAGTTCTTAATGTATTTTTAAAAAAGCTGATTTCGCATTTTTGTACTAATATTATAAAGAGGTAAAGTTTGTGCGGTTGTGAGGCTGTTCACTGAATCTACTGAACCAATTTTGAAAATTCTTTTAGCAATAGTTAATTGTATACTAGGCTATTTATTACAACAAAAACTATAGTCTACACGTATTGTGGACCGAAGGTCTACACCGAATCGAAGCAAGAGCGGGCCACTATTGTAAATATAATTGTCAAAAATAACAATGTTCTGATCTCTGAGTCACAGTATCAGTTACATTTGTGTGTTCTGCTATGCAAAATAATGCCGATGCCAAAAAATTAATGAAATGGAATAAGTAGGAAGCATTCGCTGAAAAGTCAGTCATGTTTGAGTAAACAACACACTAAACAAAATCTATTGACCGACATAATCAATAAGTAGCACGTTACAACTATCAAGGTCACTTCCAACTAAGTAATTACTTAGTCTGAGTTTAGTCTTGACGTGATCGACAGATTACCTAATACTAGTCAATATGTTTGAACGTGAGCCTTTAAAATTATTTCAACGATATTGCAAATTCTAGTTTTGCATGTAACGAATACAACGAACCACCCAGGTACCTACGAGTATACTATATTTTCATGTATCCATAGCCTTATTTATAGGTAAAGTTGAGACGAAAACAATGGAAAAACTTTCGCTAAGAAATTTGCACTTTACTGCTATGTTATAAAGCTGTTGCTAATAGTGTCCATTGAGTGGCTTCGACTGTATAACTAAATAAAATAAAATCGTGTAGGTACGTACGATAACGAAATTGTTAAAGTTATCGATGGAATAATAAAACATTTTATTTAAAAGCAACAAGTCGGGCTGTTACTGTATAATAGGTACATTTTAACATACGTGGTGCTCTGTGCAGCTAAACTTAACTTAACTTCACCTAGTTACCTAAGTAGGAAGGTACCAAGTAATCTTTTTCCCACTATGCATTGCATGCTAGTAGAACACTAGTACTTTACACTACTTCGTAGGTATATGTATTTAATGTTTGTCTGTCTGTATGTAATTAACTTATTTTTAAGTAGGTAAGTATATATTTTTTCCTCACGTATAAGTATACAATGATGAGAAATAACTTCTTTAAAAGTAGTAATATTAATTCTGTCTCCAATATGGGTACTTGTCAATGTTAAACTTAACAGTGGGTACTGGTGGCCAATGGCAGAGTTTTCTCCCCAGAAAACAGTTTAGTATGGAAGATATTTAATTTTCACTACGTCGCTCGTTGGTGCTGCTCAAATTTCCATGCAAAACTTATTGATATTTGACGCGTATCGGGATAGAATTTAACTATAAAAATTCGATATTGGTTCGTACTAAGGGTACTGATCTCCAAACAGCTTATGTCTGGAGGAGTAGGCCTCCAATTAATTCAACGAAAAAATAAATTTCGATCGAAACTTCGCACTTTTCTTACTGTTTCTGGTTCTTTAAATAATATTCGTCGTCGGAATATAGATTGAGGTGTAGATTTTCCTACTCAAAGAAAGCTTCAATTTGATAGTTTATCGTTCAAATTAAGTATAATCTTAAATTGACGAAATTAAATTTCGTTTGAACTTCGTTACCGATAGTTCGTTTCGGAGAAAGAGAGTAGACCCCCTGTTCGTGGAGTCTTGTTAAGGTCTGAAGTCAGTGGAAGGAAACTTGTCAGTCACCACCGTCCTGTCTCGTAGTCCGTATTCATCTTTTTTCCTGTCAGTACTGTCATAATGTCCGTCTGTCATCCGTAGGCTAGTCAGTCAGATCAAGGAGGTTGGACGCCGGGACACTTGAGCTTATTATTACTCGATAAATAGTTAACTCTTAGCCAACTGCATGCCTTGGTGCGCGGTGGTCCGGTTTACACGGCTTCGTACAAGATCTTATTATTGACTTGTATAAAATCTTAATTTATCAATCCATACTACTCTTGTACTGGAAAAAGACTGCAGAAGTTCGGACTCCAAAACAGGTCCTTTAGAACGCCCTTTTGTATCAACAACGTGTAGTTCCACAATCCCGTCTTTAGAATTTGCCATGATTTTAACGCTTGTTGAATCGTTTGGGGAAAGTTCGTACTTCTGCGGTTTTTAATGTTTGAAGTGAAAACTTCTTTAGCGGCGTTGTACACTTTTATGTAATGGGTAAAAACTGTTAAACTCGCGTCAGGACACGTGGCCTGATCGCGTCATGACACGTGGCCTGATCGCGTCATGACACGTGACCTAATCGAAAATTCGTAAAACGAAAACAATAAAATTGGAAAGGTTGTTGACTTTCAATATGTTGGATGAAACATCGTTATATTTTATTTTATCGTATTATAATAATAAGTCTCTAATTAGGACGTCCAGGCGGCAGCTTTATTGCGAAGAAAATGCATTTTATTACAATAAATTTCGCTAGGTGCGCTTAAACGTGATTCATGTAAGTTGATTTTTCTGAGAGATAAACTTTTTAATGTAATATAAATTGTCATGTTGTGTACGATAGCGCAATAAATAAATATTGTTTCTACCACATAAATGATAGTACTTTTATACTGATAATTAAAGCAATTCGTGCAAAATAATTCCCTAACCATTCCAAAATATAAAAAATGCACAACGTTAATATTCAAGTTTTCACTTCTGCCGGCGCGGCACTTCAATCCGTTCTTTTTTTTTTCTTAATTGTGTGGTATTCAATTTCACTTTCATTGTTTCGTGTTCATGTTATGCAATTTAACAGGGAGGTGTCTGTAATTTTACGTAGTTTTGTATAAATCTATACACAAAAAAATAGAATAGAATTCGCATTGCCAGAGACACTACGAAACAGATGAATATAAAATATTTTTCAAAGGCACACATCAGTAACGTATCCCACACTTGACATTGAGTCAATATGTTTTTCCGGGAAGAGTCAAGGTTGCACGCCAATCTGTCGCATGCAATACTACAAATATCCCCAAAACTGTCCTGTTTTGGTGATATTTGTAGTATTGTACATCCCTGATTACTGAGGTGTGCCCGTGAAAATTATTTTATACTGGCTGTGCCCCGCGGTGTTACCCGCGGTTTATTAGGGATATTTTCCTGCAATAAAACGTAGCCTATATGTTAATCCAGGGTGTCAGCTAAGTCCATATCAAATTTTATTAAAATTGCTGCAGCTGTTTAGACGTGAAGAAGTAACAAACATACACACTTACACATTCACAAACTTTTGCCTTTATAATGTTAGTGTGATTCATCTGTTTCGTGGTGACAGTGAAGAGGACCGAAGAGAGACTTTATCCATAAAATTATATAGTTGCACATGAACTTTAAATAAGTTTGTTTGTTAAACTCTCTAAGATATTATAAGTTGAGCTTGAATTAGATATTGTAATGCAACCCTAAACTTTTGACGAATAGTTTTTATCGTTCGCATCTAGTGCAAACGGAAACCTAAGCATGCAACACAGTGCGTGTTCTTGCCCAAACCCAGTTAAGCTTTAATGCTCATTCTGATGAGTCGGATGAGTCGTGGTGGCAAAAACCAAAGATTCGCATAGCAAACCTCGCTCCTTCATTTGTTTTTGATTAAGCGTAATATTTTAACTTTCTGTTATGGTCTTCAGCTCGACCACGTCCACACAACACAGCGACGGCAGACAGCTGGCTGAGCCCAGCCACTGGGACAGTATGAACTCCCCTCTGATCCAAGACGAAGGTGACGGCAAATCCCTGAAGCTCCGATTCGACGTCAGCCAGTACACACCAGAAGAAATCGTCGTCAAGACAGTAGACAACAAACTATTGGTGAATATCTTTATTTACTCATGTTATAAGACCCATATTTACATAAACATCTAGTACATATTATTTTTTGCATAGCAAACAGCATCTACATTATTTATTTTTAATACCACTGAAGTGCTATTTTTCATAAAAAACAAGTTTCGTAATTCGTATTTTCTTGAACATAAAATAATGAAGATAGTAATTCTTTGTTGTGACAAAGTTGCATTCGTATACTCGCGACAGTCTAATGAAGATTAATTATCCGCGAAATAAGTGATGAACCTAGTTATTTATAAACTATAAAAATAAAAAAATATTGGCTGAAACCACGGCGCCGTCGGCAATATGCCAGACGACGTTCACTGTCGCTTTTAAGCACGCAGGCATTTCGTTTTTTTAAGGTTGACGAACATTTTCAAATCGCTCAGACATGCAAGAATGTCTGCTATCAAAATCAAATTTTAGCAGAATTTACAAGAAATTTAATATGCTTCGTGACTGTGGTATCGGCCACGATTCTCAGAAAGCTGTTGCATGACTAGGTATACCGGTACCTATATTCGCAGGTATTACCATATTTATCAGTAATGGTATAGAAAGGGTACGGTCCAGTATTAGAATTAATTCGCTATTGTAGAAAAATATGCTATTTTAAATTTTATGCAAGCAAGCGCCTACTTACTGTAAAAATGATTGTTCTCATCAAAGACAACCTGAATTAACTTATCAATTAGTAAATTGTGACATAATACTCGTACTTCCAGGTGCACGCAAAACACGAAGAGAAGTCGGATACCAAGTCAGTGTACAGAGAGTACAACAGAGAATTTCTGTTGCCCAAGGGCACCAACCCAGAGGCCATTAAGTCGTCGCTGTCCCGTGACGGTGTGCTCACGGTGGAAGCACCCCTGCCGCAATTGGCGATCACCGACAGAAACATCCCCATCCAGAAACACTGAGCGAATCTCCAGCTTGCGACCCACAGCAGCTATTCCATACTGTTAATAATTTATTTTTAATTTACGTCTTATTTTTACTTTGTAAGGAGTTTTGGCGAAATTCTCATATTTATTTTGAATCTTTATAGAGAATCTCGAAATTGATTAACATTTTCTTTGTAATCGGTCAATTACTTGGCTATTCCATTCGTTCATGTAGAGCACAGTTGCGGATCGCACTGTTCACGTTCAATGTTGCTTAGTGACATACCCAATTGCTTTCACTGTGATCGTTAGGAGTCTGTGCATTGTTAATGCATTTTCCGATATTTTTTTGGATTTAGGAAAGAGAGTAGAAAATTAAGAATTACTCTTGTTTTTTTTTATTTGAATAAACACGCAAATTTTTGTGCAAATCTGGGGCCTAAGTAGGAGCTTACAGAACGTATTAATTGAAAAGTATGATTATTGTGGAAATCGTGTTTGATGTGAAAAGTAATTAATTGGAAGTATACAATTGGCTATGACAACGACGATTGGAAAAGTGTCTTAAATTTAAGTACTATAATAAAAGTCCATTTTGCTTAACCACTACATGCCCTTGGCAGAGTTAACTAGCATGTTTTTACAATACACAACCTTAACAGCTTTTAACTTGAAACACGTTTATATTTTAGTACAAACAGTTGTTACAAAAGTTTTAAATGTCAATAAAACATAAAACCAATTTTGTTGTTGTCATTTACAATAGCCCTATCCTCAGAATATAAGTAGATACCTATGTTTCTTCATGTCGAGTAGAAATATTTAAGGAAGTAACTACTGATAAAATATAAGAAAACTGGTAAATAGATACTCAATAATCTACATTAGGTATATATAAAAATGTACCTATCGCATAAATACACACGTCAAAGAAGTCTAAACAACATGCATCATTTACACAAACTGCAAGTATACCTAATCAGTTGATATTTAATATTATCGTTATGAAATGTATAACTTATTCTAAGCTTTTTTTGCTTAAGATACTAATAAATCAAGTTGGTTATTATTAACGAATCGGTCAAATGTTCAAAAAAGTTCATGTTGCTAAATTCTTTGATGAGTATATTTATATCTACACGTATTAATTTCAAAGAATGTAGTGTTTATTACCTATTGTCACGAAAAAGGTTCAAAAGAAAGTTTTTTTAATCCCCTAGAAGCTACCAGAAAATTCGGATAACGGGATATAGCTTTTTTGCATTCATGAAATCTCGACACTCCTCAACTTCACATTAGTTTATTACACCCACGTGTAATGCCGTACTCGCAACTTAATTATTATAGATTGAAGTCTTAATAACCGTTTTCGTACGAACTTATATCAAGTTTCATTATAGAATATGTAAATACGATAAGTAATCGCATGCGCACTGTTTTCCGTATAAATATATTTTTATAGACTTTTCCGCACTACAGACCTTATTTCAGCATAGGCCTAATTTGTATAAGGTACCTTATATCAAGTTTCATAAAAAATACTTACGATAAGTATCAATGAACCGTAACATTTTACTACAGAGCAGGCCACTACCCGCGAGTAATAATGGTCATTGTTTCGAAAGCGCATTGCGAAACATAACAATGGCACCGGATGCAGCCCTAATTAGATTCAATCCAGCTGTGCTGATTCTACGTGACTTGCTTGGCAAAGCTAAATGTAATGCAGAAATACCCAAAGATAAACCGCTATATAGCAACTTACTTACAGTTTGATCACGAATATAGAAAGGACCAATTGGCTTCCTTAGCGAAGGATTAGAAAGATTACTTACACAACCAACCAGTTGGTGCAAATGTGCGTGGGTTTGAATACACTGGTATTATATACCTCATACCTACTGTGGTACCTATGGGCGTTTATTGGTAACATAAGGATTGCCTAATGTTATTAAAGTGATACATATTATATATCGCCACAAAACTTCTCGGTAATCTTTAGCATGTCGCATTTAATTTTTAATGTGTTTTTAATTGTTAGGTATTAAAATTAACCTTATTTTAATATGACAACGTATTGTTGGTTCAGTTGTAAGTAGTAAGTTCGTCTGCTACGCGGGTGGCCCGGGTTCAATTCCCAGCCGAGGAAGGTTTTTTTTTAAATTTCCACTTTTTAAAAGCTAGAAAAAATTAAGAGATGTACCTACAACACTTTAAAAGTTGCACTAACATCATGGTTTCATAAAAATATACCTACCTAACATTTTTTTTTCCTTAGTCGTGGATGTTTTAAAACTTTACTAAAACATAGTAGGTGCATATGTATTGTTATTACTTTGCTTAGTAAGAGGCTTAAATAAGCAATTGTTTTGATTAAGTTAATGTTGGAAACAAGATAGGTATAATTAATATAACATCCGTTAAGGTTAAATTGCTAAATGGACAGTCAATTATTTAAATTGAACGAATTTGTTAAAATAACTCCATAAAGATAAATTAATTTGAGCCAAGTTTGGGTGTGTCAGTCAGAATAGTAATTTACTATTCTAGGCTAGGCAAAGCGACAAAAATACTAGGTGTTGGCGATGTTTGAGCAACTAAGCATAATAACTGAAATAACCCTTTAAAAGCTAAAAAAGTCCGCACACGTAAACATTAGATCGTCATCTGCCCATTAATGCACTGCCCACTTGAGGGGCACAGGCCATTTCTATGGATGGAATAGGGAGACTGAGCCGTGACCCACCACGCGGGCTCAGAGCGGAATGGTGGATGCTGAACTGCTGACGACTGCAGATGCAGCCGGGACCAACGGCTTTTTTATATTAAAAGGGTGGAAAACAAGCATATGACCCGCCTAATGATAAGCGGCCACCATAGCCTAGTAGACGCTTACGATACAAAAAGTATCACTTGCGCCGTTGCCTACTCTGACATTGGGTCCCCCCATACCCCGTGAAGCTCTGGAACCTCACCAAAAGGTAGTGTTATTTTACTGTGGTCTTCTTTAAGGTGGAGGTTACTTTCCCAGACAGGCGTTCCAATTCGAGCGGAAAACCCCTTATTCCCCACCTCTAGGTGTATTCCGAAGCAAGGAGGAGCTCGAGATAATAAGTTTTTGATCAGCCATCCAATGAAAAACCATTGCGAAAGTTGCTTAACTTTAACGTACGCAGGCCGAATGCGTTAACTACCTGCGCTATGGAGCTCCTCAGGTCGGACCATAGACAGATAATGAACTGAGCGTTCCCTGTACAACTGTAAAATAAAACAAAAGTAGAAGACTGGGAGAGAGACGGGCGGCCCTTATTTTGTAGAGGTCTCGTATAGGTGGGTATTGCCTACTTTTTACCCGACTGCCAAAGAGGGAGGGTAATGTTTAGGGAGTGTATGTAAGTATGTATGTATGTCTGTTCCTTTGTGACCTCCTGTAGCCTAAACGGCTTGATGGATTTTGATGTATGAGGTATCGTTAGATTTGTCTTGATTACGGGAGTGTCATAGGATACATTTTATCCTAAAAGTCCCACGGGATAAAGACATAATAATATTTTTTCTAAATTTCCCTTTAAAAAAATATGTATGCGGTATCATTAGATTCATTTTTAGACTGTCTTAAGGTACTTAATAATTCCCGCGATATTAATTCCCTTACTGAAGTAACAAGACTACGGTATATACCGTCTTAAAATACTAACTAACTAAAAAGTGTGAAATAAAAAAGGTAAATTTAAAAAATCAAAAAACCCGACTGCTTAATTATACTTCAAATAAAAACTGAAAAGAAAAAAACAAGTCCAGTAGTCTATAATTCTGTTAATAAGGAACAAAGCTACTTTAACAGTCGGGACCCACTGTTGAAAAATATTATGTATTCTTGAATATCTAATGGGTCCCGACTGTTAAAGTAGCTTTGTTCCTTATTAACAGAATTATAGACTACTGGACTTGTTTTTTTCTTTTCAGTTTTTATTTGAAGTATAATTAAGCAGTCGGGTTTTTTGATTTTTTAAATTTACCTTTTTTTCTCTTTCTGGCTAAGGCTCGCGGACACGCCGGAAATTGGTAAACCCTTTTAATGGCTGGAAAATGCTAAAAACGTACCCCATAACGTACATAAGGTAAGGTACAGGAGCAGGACCACGCAATACTCCTGCACCTATTATGTACAGGAGCAGGACCAGGCAATACTCCTGCACCTGTTACGTACAGGAGCAGGACCAGACAATACTCCTGCACCTGTTAGGTACAGGAGCAGGACCAGACAATACTCCTGCATCTGTTAGATACAGGTGCAGGAGTATCGGTGCACATTCTGAAGACAATAGGTACGCTTAGTTCCTTTTTAGTGAGTCGTTCAGTTTAGAGTTCTTGGTGGAATTGGAGCAGAAATACTCCAACTAGTACATACCGCTATATATTAACTTTTAATCACGAATATAGGTAGGCTTACTAAGCGAAGGATTTGAAAGATTACTTAATTTAGACGACTTGACCGGTTGGTACTAATTTGCGTGGGTTCGAATCCCAATAAGAGCGTTTATTTTATTGGTAACATAACCACGGTGACTAAGTGTACACTTAGAAAAAAACTGTTTTTGCATCTCTAGAGTTATGCGGCTGAAAAACATATAGGTATCTCCTACACAGTGAAATTCTCATTCTGACCATAACGTAAGTCACTGCATAAGTAGGTAGTTGATTGAAACAGGTCTATTTATATCTAATTCTACAGGTATAAAAATTTGTATAGTTTCACAACTCGGCAGGTAACCATTACATTTTCACGGTATTTATGTTACGAATTCGAATCAAGGGCAAAATACGCTAATGCTGTGTATCAAGAAAACGCAAAATTTTATACAGGTAGGAACCAATATCAAAGCGCGCGTTGTTTAATGTACGGTAAAGAACTTTATTTCTTTAGTAAAAAGTTGTTAATTTATTCCTGAATTTAATTTATCATATGTATTCCTCGGAACGGGAGTCACCGTAAATTCGCATTCATGACGTATTCGGCACAACTTGCACATCGATCATAGACGTATCGCATGTGATACGTTATTCGCGATGACGACTTGTAATTCATTACAAACAATATTTAATTGACGACGAAAAGAATCCGTTAACTCTGCCAAATTGACATAGACAAAAATAGCCGGTGACAAGGCCGGTTTGAAATGTGCAAACGAATGACACCCATAATTCAAGCATAATTCACAATGTAGCTCGTGTGCTGGTTACGTCAGCCTGGTGCATCCATCCCAGCACTTATTAAGAGAGTTATTGTCCAAGAAATGAGTGACGACTAATGGTACTACAAGGCTGGTCCGTATTTAGGTCAAGTGAACGCGTCACTTTGTTTGACTTACTGTTATGTATGGAAAATATTTTTTTTACATAAATATGTAGGTACCTACCTATTTCCACACTATATCTCTCTCGTAGGGTTGGCAAAGCACAAAAGGAGCGATACCGAGGATGTACCTTTCAAGGTATAAAAATAAAACCATTTCAAAATCACACCTCGACGACTTCATATTTGGCGTTGTAGATTTGTAGGAAATAATAATATAAGATGCAGCAATTATGTATCCTGAACTTATTATCCTCTCTAAGACAGCATGCATATGACACATATATTCATTACGTACAATACAAATACATTCGTGTGGCATGTTATCAGATGGGAGACTAAAATAAGGCTACCTCGTTGCAAAGGAATTTATGGTCAACGTAGGTACGGTACAATGAAATATCGTCAAATATTTTTTCTACACACCGCTGCAGGTCCACCTTTTGCTTATAAGAAGGGGCGCAAGAAACGTATCAGTATTTAACAGAAGAATTTTATTACACGATTCTCTGTCTAGTGTGCCGGCAATGACAGCTTAATTTTTCCATTTACACAGTATTTCAAAGACACATTTTGTCTGGTTGGGTTAGAGATGGTACAAGAGTTCACTAAGTTTATCAAACAAGACACTGTCTTAGGTTAACTAAAATAAGGTAGAAATATTAACGCTGCTATTAATACCTATAGTAAATATTAGTGATTTGGATATAAAATTGTTATGATTTAATAAGTAAAATAAAAATCTAATTTTGGTCTCTACTTTCAAAGAAAATTGATTTATTAATAACTCTTTAGTTATTAACATTTGTTGCGGGAATGGCATTCATATTTCATTTTGGCTTGGCTGATTTACCCACAGGCCTAGGGCGCCAGGATCAAGGCGGGCGCGACGGTGAGTTGAGCTGAGACTTACATACTAAAAATATTATTATACTAGCGGCCGCATGCGACTTCGCCCAAGTTAGTTTTTAACTTTAGTTTTTTGAGAATCTAGAGAAGAAATAAATATTTATCCTTTGTCTCAATCCAGGTAATAAACTATACTTATATGCGCCAAATTTTATCCAATTTCGTTCAGCCCTATTCCGATTTATTCAAGCTCTGTCGTAAAATACTCTTCAGTAAAATACTTCCCCCTTTCACCCCGTTAAGGGTAGAGTTTTAAAGAACCCTGATACATGTTATTCTAAGTATGTTGTTTTAAGTTAATCGGAATCATCTCTTACACTGTTCTTATTCCCATCCTATATACATTTTATTTATTTTCTGTTTCGTTTCCTCTCCTCTTCCTTTCGCCTCTTACTGTTAATAAACCGTCCTCTCCTCTCCCTGTCTTTCCTACCCATTCGACCTCCCTGACTGCATCTCGATGCGGCCTCGGATTCTGATGGGTCTACTCTTCCAACTATTGAATCCTCTACATCACAATATAACATAACCCATCATCAACTTAAAATGTAAAAAATAAATAAGTGTTTAAAAAAAGTTAATCGGAACGTGCGTTAAAATCCATTTATATAAAAACTTGGAGCATCCTCCAATCCCCCTTTTGGAGTAGATTAGGCGAAGTCCAAACGCGAAGGGAAACTTATTATTCGAGCAAGTTTAGTTTATTAGCTCAAGAAATAAGATTTTTCATACAAACTTTCATCCCCTATTTCAAGCCATTTTTGGGTGAATTTTTAAAAATCCTTTCTTAGTGCGCCACTACACCTCATAAGGAACCTACGTGCTTCGTGCCAAATTCGGAGTCTCTAGACCCAGCGGTTTGAGCTGTGCGTTGATTGTAAATCAGTCACTCGAGTTCTTCATACATAAGTACCTATATTATAAATAAATATTTCCGACACTCACACCAATTAGCCTAGCCCCAAAGTAAGCACTATAAGGCTTGTGTTATGGGATGCTAGGGTAACGGATAGAATACATATACTGTACATATATAAGTATATTTATATAAATACATATTGAACATCCATGACTGGAGTACAAATGCTCGTATTCATCATACAAACATCTGCCCCCACCGGGATTCGAACCCGGGACCTCTCGAGTCGGCGACAGCCATGAAACCCGGCGTACAAACCACTCGGCCACGGAGGTCGTCAAATTATATTTAGATAAGTCTAAGCTCAGCGGCGTTATATATGTAGTAGTTTTGAGAAAAGGCGTGCCAATGCGTGAAAATTCTCACACATACATATTAATAACCATAGATAGATACGACATCACGAACAAAATCTTATTTTTAGAGAATGTTTTGACGTGACAACGTCTTAAATTAGGTTGCGGCTGGGAGTCACTTATGAAAAAGTGTAACGCTCGGTAACGTTACGATGAGTTTAAGTTTACATGTACAATGTTTTAGTAAACAAAATATATTTCTATAGTTAAAATTTGTGCAATTCTTATTTTCATTCAATTCCTTGTTCCTATTGTGCAATTTAATTATATTCATATCAATAAATATTCTACCGAGAAAAAGACGTTGTCACGTAAAATCTTCGCCCGTAAAACCGACTTTACAGGCAACCATTTTTTTTGTGGAAAGATTCGCCAGTGAGAAACAATGAGACGGAGATTAATTTTTAAAGTACTTAGTCTTATTTAATTTCTTCTTTTATATTTTAGAATTAAATTAATAGATTGTTAAAATAAGTGTTGCATTAATTTGGTTCCTTACGTCTTGCCTTTACTTACTGAGTTTTTTTTTATCTTGCATTTGTATTATCTGATAGAACGAAACGAAAAGATTTTTAATAAATAACCAGTAGTCTGTTATTTTGGTCTTTAGGATCTTTAAATCTTTAGGTTGTGTGAAAAAGGTGTGAATAAGTAAAAAAAGTTGTAGATTTTTTGATTAGTAGTACTTAAAATTTTGCCATATTAATTTTTCGGTAAGTTTTCCCGAAAATCGCGGTACTCATTTCGTCCCTTTTACAATACGAGAATATGACGACGCATTTACATTTTCTGAATCAGTTTTCTTTTTAATGTATGTTTTTCGTATAGTATCATTAGAAAGAAGAGGTTCCAAAGAACAAAAACACACCAAACTTATATACTTATAAGAAAATTAACTTTTTGACGGGGGAGTTTTCGATTGAAAATAAGTATATGTTTTCACAATAAGTAATATCAATATACTTAATTAGAACAATAAATAGTTTAAATAGAGCGTGTATCTATTGGACATAAGAAGGTAAGTTTTCACCAAATTTGGTGAGAAGAAAAGTTTTTTGTGGGAAATAATAACAAAAAAACTTACGAGCATTTATAATGGTATATAAATGCTCTAAGCAAAAAAACCAAAAAGTATTTTTTTATTTTGCGCAGATATTTTTAAGGTTATGTGAAAAAAGTGTAAACAGAAAACTTAGCATCATTTATTCTTCCTCTTAATTTTAATGTGTTCTCTTCCTTTTGGTATGGGTTTCGTCCTGTTCAGAAATATCCGAAAAATTATGTTATGTCACTTAAGCTCTTCTATAATTGTAATTTAATTAGTTGCACCTGCAAGTGAATGAAAAGGTATGATAGGACAGGTAGGGGGGCGCTTAGCCTAGTGCGGTGAGAACGTATTGATATTAGCATTGGTAGCTACTACAAATTGTTTGTTGTACTTACTACAGAATGAAACAAACGCTTAAGGTTTAACTGAATTGCCCCATTTATATTATTACACGAACACGTGAACTACATTTTTTGTAACCGAAATCATTAAACGGATTAACCCATTTCAATTAAAATCGACATAAACATGTCATCCAAACGAATTTACTAAATACAGATGAAAAAACGAACGGTAAATTTAATATTTTAGCCAGTCTGACCCTGAAAACGGGCAGCTTTCTATTCCTAATGCCACCCGGCATTAGTGGTGCATTAGATCGAAAAAATATTTATATCATTCGACGTCCAGAAAACATATTCGGTCAAATACAAAAATACGTGGCGTAAAAATGACAGCATAACAATTTTCGTTTTCATGACTAACAACGATGTATTTGCGTTAGTTTACTTCTTATTTTGCCCCTGCCTCATTGCACTGTTATGAATAGTGAATCGCTTGGCAATTGATATATTGCTTTGCGCAAATATGACGCATTAAAAGAAGCTGTCTCAGTTTATGTTTATTATTAAGCGCCGGCGCCGACGGCAACAATTCACATTCACAGGCGAGATCACTTCTTATTATGGTGGTATTGTTAGTACAATACGCTGTAATCCTAATATGGCGTAGGATTTAGTTAAATATGCCCCGACATTCAAAAAATATTATAATTAGTATTGTTGGCGCTATGGCACGTGTGTCTAGCTCACAGAGTTGCGCGTATAGACCTGGTTTTTAGAAGTTTTTTTACTCGATGAATCTTGATAAATAATACGAAATCCTTCATGTGCGTGTCCGAATTACGTTTGGACTTTTGTCTGCTGTCTATTTTGTCCGCCGAAATACTTAGATTGCTTACAACTGCATCAAGTAACACGACGGATTAAAAGTATCGCATACTAAAAGTCCCTCAAACAACCGAGCACACCGGTAAAGCGAAATTACGCGGGTGTCCCCGAATAAAATTAAACTCATGTGACTAGGCGCAGCACAGCAACGCACACAGCGCACTTTTTGATCGATTTAAAGAGAACCCTACTAGGTTCTCTTGCTCTTTAACAACGTTTTCTCTTATTCTTAAACATCATGTTACTTATTACAACACGACATAATCTGTACCCTTAGCACGAACCAATATTGAATTCAAATAGTTTCCGAGTCCGAAATGTAACATTTCGGTCAAATGTGTACTGATTTTTAGTTCTCGTTACGTACTTTGTGGTGCTGCTGTTGTTCAAGTTTCCATACAATATTGACATTGACATTTTGCACTCGCAAACTATTCGAATTCGATAATGATTCGTGCTAGATGTACTGAGAATAATTACATCGCTTTTTTTTTAATTTTCGGGCGACAAATGTTCGCACATAGCGTGCGTTGTGTCCGTGACAAGTCCTCGGCGGAATTTTTCTTCAAGATTTTGTCCCCAGCGGACAAAATTTCTTCGTCTGCGCAGACCATTATAGGATCACTATATTGTCTGTCTGTCTTTCAAGATCTTGGGAAGTCATTAAACTGCTGCTGCATTTTATATCTATAGAAAATTTTACTAGAAAAATTCAACGCAGCCCAGGTATTAGGCTGAATTCGAACCAGCGAGCGCCTTTAGACAATCGGGCTGATGCACTGACCGCTATGATACTGACACCTTCATGAAGGTTTATGAAGATTTTTTTCTGTATGTAACTTGTTCACATTGCAGGGGATTACGTTTAAAACAACGATATTAAATACCCTAGATACACCACGTGCGCTCAAAATGTGTCCCAATCAAGAAGAGCTTGAACACCACTCAAGCACTTCTTGGTTCACAGTCACGCGCCGACCGTTGAACAGTCGCCGCAGAGCTCCGTGAAAAAATGCGTAAAATGTTGTTGCAATTTTTTTTATAATACTTACTATAAACTGAGTTAATTAATTGCGATATTCAAATGCTTGCTCGGTAATATAGCCGTCTCTTCCTCCCGGCTGTACCCGCTATATTGCTAACAGTGCATTCAGAATTGCGCGCAGAGTCAACGAAAAAGTTCTATATTCTTCGCATTAAGAAATGTCGTAAAATTTTACGAGCTTGCACATCGAACTGTCATAACTCTTTGAAGGATGCGTTTTAATTAAGACCTTATAAAGGACGCATTAAAGGTGACTTAATGTTTAAATAATGCCTTATATTGTTTTTGACACGCGGTCATCTTACGGAGCTCCGCGGATCGTCTAATGTACTTTTTGGACAGGTTTCGGGCACGATTTTGTTTGTGTTGGTGTATCTAAGGTATTTAATATCGTTGGTGTAAAACGAAATACTTTTACTCGTATCAACAATTTGAAAGAAGATAATAGCGACATAGTTTTTATTATAAAAGACCCATAATTATATTCAAGCTGGATTCGAACCAGCGCCTGCCGCTAGACGAATTCATTTACAGGACAGGACACTCAGAAAGTTTTGAGAAACTAAATAAAATCTTCTTCCGGCGATAAAATCTGTATCCCTTTGAACTTTTTATTTTTGGGAATAACAAGAAGTCACAAATAATTACAAGTGGCCAGTGTCTTATACATGAAAACTTTTTTTCGCATTACTTTCTGAGTGGCCTGGCATATTTTTTTACAGAATTACTCACGATTACTGCGATCACTTTCATTTCATATTTGGTAAAGAGAATAGCTTATGATAGATGCTCGCAGAAAAAGTTGCCAATTTTTTTTTGTTTAGGTTTGGGCACCTGAGTCAAATAAGCAAAGACTGTGCATAAATGCAGCATTGCTGATACCTAAGACAGATACAAATGAAAGAAGACATATAGATATGTTAAAATTTTAAATTTTAACAGAGTATTCATCATTGACCATCTCGTTGCATTCTCATACTCAATCAACACTATCAATAATAATTTCAATATTGGTTTTAAAATTAAAGATCTTTTCATTTGGCTCTATTATGTCGGCGAAATCAAACAAAAATACGGTAAACAAGAATTTTTTTGTGTGTTTAAAATAAAAGATGATTTTAAACTTTTAAAAGTGTAATATTAAATTGGTTCCGATACCTATCTAACTACTTCTTAATCAGGGTAGCGATATAGTTTCTGGCGTGGTAAGCTAAGAAACCTAGAGAGCAGCCGACTAGCACTTCTGTGACGTAACCCATTACTATTTCTCGAGATGTTTTCTCTCTGATCAAATCAGCTGGCGGTGGGTTGTTTCTATTTATCTGAAAAACAAATAACACTTAAAAATTCTAAGAGTGAATTTTGTTCAACAATAATTTACATTAATTGTTACTTAAGCAAGCCATAGACGCTATGGTATACCTGACAGGTTTACCTGTACAGTTCAACTGCACAAGTAAACTTGAGTTTAGTAGAGAACATACACGTAACGGTAAACCTGCACAAACTTTCAGTTGAAACCTTAGATTAAAACAAAAAGGGTAGATACGGTACGCTCATACTTGCATCAAACAAAAACTGATCCCACGGTAGCGCGAACGAGACGGCGAGATCCGCGTCACTGCATTACCGACCCGAACGAAACAGCACGTTAAGTTTCAACGGCAGCGCGAACGAGACGGCGAGATCCGCGTCACTGCACTACCGACCAATCACGCGACCAGTACTCGATGTCACTACCGAATAAGATTTAAAACAAACAGCAATTTTTATGAAAAAATATATTTTATAGTACTTACGAATGAAAAGTGGTGCCGTGGGTTTTATTTTTAGTTCTTGAGCAATTTGAGCACTTTTAAAAAACACACTTAGGCATTGTTTTATCATATAAACACAAAATATTAGCAATATTTTTTGGCGTTCACATGTACGTCGTTTGCATGTCAAGTTGTGACTAAAGCGATTAGGGTCGTGGACCACAATTGGTGCGGATCACTTTTGTGAGGCTAGTGCCGTATCTACCCTTTTTGTTTTGAAAGAGATGATAGTAATCAAAATTCAATATGGGGACAATGTTGCGCCATATTGAGACGAAGTAAAAAAAATAAGTTGACAAAATCATGTTTAGGTTCCTTACACCATTTTTCATTTTATATGATTGTTTAGGATCTACAACGCTTTAAAGTTGTATTTTAACCACTTCCGCTTTTAATTTCAATCTTAGGTTTATATGGATCTTTGTTACTCTTTCACCTAAAAAATACTGAATGGATTTTAATGAAACTTAACAGTAATATAGCTTATATATGATAATAACATATATATATAATAATTAATGTAGTTATTGAGTGAATTGGCCAAAATATAACAATAAGTGTCACATAAGACGGAAAAAATCTCCCATCTGCGAGCCATTTTGGTCTGCACTGAAAAAACAATAAAAGTTACATGAATGTAATGTAGAGTGAAAATGTATCTCTTAAATAGTTCTACAAAAAAGTCCGTGACACCATATTTCTATTTTTAATGTGTAAGCCATTACCGCTAAAATAATGAATCAAAACTAAAATATTATTTGATATCTATTTCCAAAATGCAAATTATAAAATACATTTTGTATTAACAAATTATTTTTTATCAAAAAAAAAAAAATACTTTTATCGCTTTTGATATTTAAGGACGATAATGTTTACCTTTTACACTATGTCATTTCGACAAATATTTAAAAAGTTACAACGATGACAAAGTTATAGCGCGGTGTACTATGTAGGAGTAGACTGCGGGAATACTAAGAGAAGAAATTTAATTTAGGTGTTTATAAACGTAGATAAAACCTAGGCGAAAAAGAAAAAAAATGGCTACTCGCACAAAGTCTTTGACCTGTTATTGGAGAACGCTTTAAAAGAAAACTGCAAAGAGAACTATAAATTGATAATAAATGAGATTGCTATGGTGCTCTACCTAACGTTATGAAAAATTTATTATGCGCCTTTAGTTTAATCAAATATTGTAAACTTTGCTTTGGTGATTGCATAATTATATATACTGCGACATAAACGTCATTGGTTCGTATTGTATATAGGGTGATTAACAACATTTGAAGTTAACTTCTGGCATCTACATATTGGGGTTCTATAAATTATGTAGGTATATCAAATTATGAGACTAGGATATGACACTGCATTTGCATATATCACAATTTTAGAGCCGGACGTTGACATGACAATGCAGCCACTGCCAATTTTTAATAGTCGACGAATAAAAGTAAATTAATTTTATATTTACTGCTAAACTACTAAAAAGAACATAAATAAAAGATGACTTTTTGAATAAGTGCTAGTTTACTATAAAATTTACATACATTAGTTAAATAGGTAACGACTTGAATTAACTTAATACATTTTTGCGAAAATTGAGGCCCATCTGTAGCCTTGACCCCGCTGGTAAAGTCTCTATATGTCTTAATAAATCAATCGTATAGACTACCGCAAGGTACTTAATAATTCCCGCGATATTAATCCCCTTACTGAAGTACCAAGACTACGGTATATACCGTCTTAAAATACTAAGTAAAAAGTGTGAAATAAAAAAGGTAAATTTAAAAAATCAAAAAACCCGACTGCTTAATTATACTTCAAATAAAACTGAAAAGAAAATTACAAGCCCAATAGTCTAAAATTCTGTTAATAAGGAACAAAGCTACTTTAACAGTCGGAACCCATTATTGAAAAATATTATGTATTCTTGAATATCTAAATAGAATATTTTTTAAATTTACTTTTTTTTAGGTTATATTGTTTGTTTTATTGAAAAAAAAAAACAAAATTTAAACGAAGACGCCGTGAACAGTGCTGCGAAGCATGGTTACTGCAAATAAAACAGTACTCTCATGTTAATTCCTCCTCTCCCCTCCGGACCACTGTGGAGTGCAGTTGTGTTTGCAAGTCAATTCTAGTCAAATTTTGAAGTAAATAACAAATAAAATTATTCTAAAATTTATAAATAAATACAGTGAAAATAATCGGGCGGCAGAATCCGTAAGGAGGTTCGAACGCGACGTACTACTTCTGGTGAGTGTGAGCAGCGCGCACAGCGCATTCATTCATTCATATTTGCCCCTGGCGCACTCACTTAACCAGTACGATTTCCAAGTGGCTCCAATTGATTATAAGCGCCTGGTAACTACTCGGCTGTACGTATCGAAACGCACCATGCCACTGCGCCGTACCCCACCACCAAATCCCTCCTCACCGGTGCCCGCGCCGTCGGCGCAGTCATCGCCACCGTTGCCGCGTTACGACTCAGAACCGAATCTAAGTGGGGAGCGAACATCGAGCGCGTTGCTTAATGCTGGTATGCGTAAACGTAAACGCGAAGACGAATGCTTAAGTAAAAATGAAATCCTAGATATGTTTTCGAACCTTAAACTGGAGCAGGAGAAAAAATTCGATTTGTTGTTGGAGACAATGCGAGATATCAAAAAACAAAACACGGATATTCACAACGCAATGACCTTTTTGTCGCAAAAATACGATGATTTACTTAATAAAGTGACATCTCTCGAAGCTGAAAGAAAATTAGACCATCAAAACATAAAATCTTTAGAAATAAAAATTGAATATTTGGAAAAAAAATGGCGCAGTTCTTGGGTTGAAATTCGAAATGTACCCAAAAAACCAAAGGAAACTAAAAATGATTTATCCACAATTGTTAATAATTTAGGAATCGCTTTAAACTTAACCTTACAGTCCGGAGATATTAAAGATATTTACAGAGTGAATTCCACGAAAAATTCGGATATGACACCTATATTACTGGAATGTTCTAGTCAGTTAATTAAGGAGGAAATTATTAGATCTGTAAAAGCATATAACAAGCAGCATAGAGAGAACAAATTGAACACGAGCAACTTAAAAATGGATGGCCCCTCTAAACCAATTTACGTTGCAGAGAGCTTATCTTCGCACACGAGACGACTATATTATCTAGCACGTGAATATGCCAAGACAAATAAATATGCTTTCTGTTGGACCTCCAAAGGAACTGTTTACCTGAGGAAAAATGAGGGTGCACCGCTGATACGTGTAAACAATGAAGCGGACTTGGTACTAACTGCTCCAGCTTGACTAAATTTTTACTTATATTATGTTTTGATTATATTTTTTTACGATTTGTTTTATTATTATAAAAAAGAACCGGCGTTTTATATAGATATTTATTGCCGTAATATGATTTTAGTAAGATTAAGTAAATTATTTTTCCATTGTTCTTATGTTTTTATTAAAAATAGTTTTTTAAATGTAATTCTCACAGGCATGAATGTAGTGTTGATTAGTATAGAATATCTTTTTTATATTCTATGTATAATAAACTTACACTTTTACACTGTACTCTTTTATACACAAACTGACAAATACTCATGTAATTCATATCACATCCACACACAGGAGATCCATTGTTATCAAATATTTATTATTTTATTGAACGATATAACAACTACAAGTAAGTATTTTACAAAATTTAGAAATGCAAACTTTTTGGCTAATATTAAGAGTGTATTGGTGTCATATTATGCTACTTTTGTATCAGTTGTTAATCGAAGTATGGAGGGTTTACGTTCACCTATTTGTTTATATTTTGCCTTTGCAGATCTAATTATAGTTGCCACCGTTTTTAAATACAAAAATGGCCTGCAACTCTAATATTTTAATAAAAAATATAGATAGTATCTCAGTGAGTGAATCCCTCAGCTGTGATACCCTCCAAGTTTATAGCTTAATTAAAAAATGTCCTTCACTAAAAATTATCGCACAAAATATACGTAGTATATCCGCAAATATAAATAGTTTTAATCTGTTTTTAAGTCGTTTGAAACTTGACGTAGACGTTATTATTTTAACAGAGTGTTGGCTACAGAGTGCCCCTCCCATTCCCAACATTAGTGGCTTTTACTCTTTTACTTCATCCAGACCTATCAACCAAAATGATGGCGTGGTCGTCTATTGTAGCACTTCTCTAGCCAGGGTCTCAGTCACTGAACCCACTATCTCGGAAGCCAGTTGTTTACAAATTGAAATTAATAAGGACACAGTTATACTAGCTATTTACCGACCCTGTGCTTTTAAAAATCCAAATAATTTTATTCAGTCCTTGCACAGCATCCTTGTTTCGCTGCGTAAGTATAGTAATATATTAGTGACGGGCGACATTAATCTTAATATACTGAGTACTGATGAAAAGAGCCTGGATGAGCATAGTGAATTTTATTTAAACATTATGGCTTATAATGGCCTCTTACCCGCTCATACTCTGCCAACTCGGGCACGAACATGTCTCGATCATGTATTTTTGAAAACACCACTTCAGGCCCAAACATTTGTAATTGATTCTATGGTAACTGATCATGACGCAGTGCTTACTTCAATAAATATGAAGAAAGCTAAACCGACACTCAAAATCATTAAAAAGCTCAATTTTGATTCTCTAGCTACAGCTATTGAAAATATGGATTTCTCTTTGGTACTAAGTTCTTCTGACCCTAATATTGCTACTAATATATTGATTAAAATGCTCCGATCCGCCATATCTTCACACACCACAAGTTTTATTCCCTCACGGCGTAAAAAAAAATTAAAACCTTGGATAACGCAGGGCTTACTTAGATCTATCAGAAATCGTGATCAAATGCACAAACGCCTTAAGCTAGATCCTAATAATGATATTCTTAAAATCACTTTTAGTCGATATCGTAACTTTTGTAATTCTCTCATCAAAAAAGTAAAATTGGACTATGATAGAGAGATGTTGCGTTTGGCTGGTAAGAACAATAAGAAGCTCTGGGATGCGATTCGAGATGTTGCTAACATGAACAAAAACCGTAATAATGCAGATGACTTATTACTAACTAAATCCTCACCAGACCAATCAGTTAATCACGCGAATGCTTTCTTTGCTAGCGTAGGTTAATCTCTTGCTGAAAAGATTGCGGTTAACTCTCCCAACGTTGTACCAAGTCAGAGATCGGCTGCTCTCCCTTGCACACCGATAAAGTCATTTGTCCTTCTTGAAACCACTACTGATGAGGTCGATAGTATCATCAATTCATTAAAAAGTGAATGTGCGGTTGGGTGGGATGAAATCTCATCTTTGTTTATTAAACGTTTCAAGAATACCCTTGTTCCGATGATAACTCACATATGTAACCAATCTTTCAGGACTGGCATCTTTCCTACTGCATTCAAAAAAGCACTTGTTCATCCAATCTACAAGTCTGGCCCTAAAAACTGCCCTAATAACTATCGTCCTATATCAATTCTCCCAGCATTGTCTAAAATCTTGGAGCGGCTCTTAAATAAGCGTCTAATGCATTATCTTGAAAATTCAGCTCTGTTATCGTCAGGACAATATGGTTTTAGGGCTAAAAAATCTGCCGTTGATGCTGTCCATGACCTCACGGACTATACAGTTAGAACTCTTGACAAGGGAGGTAAGTGTTTGTCTGTTTTCCTTGATCTTGCCAAGGCGTTCGACACGGTCTCAATTCCAATTCTATTACACAAACTTCATCGCCTTGGAGTGAGGGGAAAACAGTTGACATTGTTACACAGCTATCTTACTGATCGCACGCAGCGTCTCGTGGTGAATGGAGTTGTGAGCTCGGATTTGCGCATCGAGTATGGTGTGCCACAGGGCAGTATACTGGGTCCAACTCTATTCTTAGTCTATATTAATGAGCTGTCATCTCTCGTAATTCCCCATTGTAAAATTTTTTCCTACGCAGATGACACTGACTTGATTTTTTCCGCGGATTCCTTGCCAGAAGTTTATAGACGTGCTCAGTATGGTTTGGATAGAGTTTTTGATTGGCTTAGAGCAAACCTCCTGTCACTTAACATCGAAAAAACGAAATATTTGCCTATGTCTAAGGTCAGGATCCCTCAAGAAGCTCTTCAAAATTTGTCTCTTGTGGCACACACCCATCACTCAGACGATTACTCGTCAAATTGTTTATGTCCCCACTTAAGTCAAGCTTCTTCGGTTAAATATCTTGGAGTTATGGTCGATACTAGACTAACTTTTCAGCCCCACATAGATTTAACAGCTGCAAGGATTCGAAAGCTCATGCATATCTTTAAAAACATTCGGCATGTAGCAGATTCTAACCTTGTCAAAAACATCTACAAGGCACTCTGTGAATCCATTCTGACCTACTGTATTACCTCATGGGGGGGGGGACATATAAAACTATCTTATTGACTCTTGAAAGAGCTCAAAGGGCAGTTTTAAAAGTTTGTACTCTAAAGCCAATTCTACACCCCACGTATGATCTATATCAGTACTGCGAGGTCCTGACTGTTCGCCAATTATTTGTAATGCATACTATTCTAAAACAACATTCTTATACCGATCCCACGCTAATATCACGTCGAAATCGTCTTGTGGTTCCATGCTCACAGCGCAAGTCTGCCTTTGCGAAGCGTTTCTTCTATTTTCTCGGTCCACATTTATATAACTTATTACACAAAAAAATTAACATATTGCAATTAACCAAATACAAATGTAAAAAAGAAATATTTAATTTTTTATATATGTTAAAATATAACGAGACTGAAGATCTTCTGCATCCTTGCACATGACACACTTTACCACACCTACACACACACACAGACAGACAGACAGACAGACAGACACACACACACACACACACGCACGCACGCACGCACGCACGCACGCACGCACGCACGCACGCACGCACGCACGCACGCACACACACACACACACACACACACAGAAACTACTCATTAATTCAATTACTTAATCATTATATTTTAGCCTACCTATTACATTAACTTATTTGAGTTATAGTTCTCTTCAACATGGTTAAGATACAGTTATTTTATTTTTTTCGGAACATGTAATTTTGTTATTATGTACCACTGTAAAGAGGGGAGAGTACTGGTCTTCTGAGATACAGGCTGCGGCCTAGTTCAGATACCAGTCTCTCCACAATCTTGTCATTAAGACATTAATTTATACATTAAGTTTGTATTTTTTGTGCATGGGATTGTGAGGAGAGAAAATAAAAGCATTATTATTATTATTATTAATTTACTGAAACAAATGAAATATAAGCCAACACGTTACCGCAATTAATACGAATACGGATGCAAATACGTATCTTTAACTGTTAACAGCAGTGACTCCCTTAATTGAGAAGCAGGATACAATAATGACAAAAGCCTCATCTAAGATTGACAGTGACTGAGTAACCTTGCAACAGAATATTTTATTCGCCAAAGACAATACTCCAATTTATAGATAAATAATATAGGTGTTCTATAAACACCTCCAGGACCTAGTTCCGTTCACTAGACGACATTTTGTACTTACGCCGTAGAGCGCCACACGACCATCCCCTCTAACAATCACCGGACAACTGACGGCTGCGCAGGAGACCGCAACACACGCTTAGTTTTACCAGCACAGTTAAACTGCACAGGTAGAAAATATCAAAATTCATGTTTTCGAGTTGCCTGTAAGGCGTAGAAACCTGCGCAGTTATGTGACATACACGCTCCGGTTTACCTGTTTAGTTACCTGTCAGGTAAACTCTAGCATGTATGGCTTGCTTTACACAATAAGAAAGAGTAAAAACGTAAGCAAAGACAGCCAAGTTCACTGGTAACAAGTAATCAGCACATCAAGTAATCGCAAACGGTAAAATAAATTGTGAATATCGTGACAAGAGATTTTGAGTCCAAAATCGTATGCTGAAGTTTGACAAATTTCGGTATCAAAACCTGATGCTGTTAGTACATATTATATGAAACAATATTTTCAATAAGGCTAGTCGAATGGAGAAATTTGTCGAATTCGGGAAACTAAACCTGAGGCTGTTTGTACATATTATATGAAACAGTACTTTCAATTTTAAATGTTACCTTTTACATCATAAGACCCATGGCATTTTTTCGAAAACTTTCCCATAATTCTTTATGTATAGTGTAAACATAATGTATTATTAGTTTTGAATACTACATAAAACATGTGTAATAGTTTTTTCAGAAATCAAAGATCCCTCCTTACCTTAGTGAGTACATTTTTCATAATTTTTATTTCTTGTCTTATACTATTGATATTAGTTAGAATTTTCTTAGGAGCCGTTTTTAATTTTAACAGCAGAGGTGAATCAGGTGGTTCAAATTTTATTTGATTCTGAACCTTTTTGTATTCTCTCAGTAGGTATTGTAAGGTTGCTTCTAAAATGTATATTTGCTGTAAGTGGGATCCCATTGAAGTGAGGCAGTCTAATACCCTGTAACACGATTCAAACATTTTTAATGAATGGGAAAAACAGAACAGCAAAAACAACATTTTAAGAATTTCTGTAGTATAATAATTCATGCTGGCATTTGGCTATTTGTGTTGTATTTTATAAAGTTGACATCAGTCTGTCATTTTTGTCTATACATATAATAAAATGGTAGGAAAGTCAAAACTGTACAATGAATATTTTTTGAAAAGAATATTGGGGTGTGATCTACAATCGATACCGAAGCCAAAAATAGTTTTTAGAATTTTTGGCTGTTTGTCTGCATGTATGTATGTCCGGGATAAACTCAAAAAGTACTGCATGGATTTACTTCAAATTTGGCACGAATATTATTAAGAAGTCGGGTCAACAATAGGCTATATATTATCACGAAACTCCACCCCTAACGGGGTAATACGGGGGTTGGAAGTTTGTATGAAAGTACTGTTTTTGAAGTAAGAGACTTGAAATTTAACATGTATGCTCTATAGATGGAGTAGAGGTGTACTAATAATGTATCTTTAGAAATAAACCCCCTTTTGGGGTCAAAAAGTATGTGCAAATAACTAACTCTGCGCGTACGAAGTCGCGGGCGGCCGCTAGTTCCTTATAAAGCCGTAACAAGGACAGACTGTTGTCAACGAATAGCTAATAGACCAGGGTCGATAATTTTTGAGACCAAAACAAATTATAGTAGGATGAAACCCATTAGAAAAGGTAGAGAATATAACAAAAATGAAAGGAAAAATAAATTACGGGTGATCTGAGGTCGGGAAGGGGGAGGGGGTGAGTTTTTAAAATGGTTAATCTCGATTTCCGGTAAAACTGCAAGTCCTATGAAAAAAAGTTAAATGGCAAAGTTGTAGGTAATAAAAAGATCTACAACTTTTGTATCGACACTTTTTTCACATAACCTCAAAATTTATGTGAAAAATGCGAATAACCGAGTTTTTGGTTTTTGATTTTTATTTTTTGCAAAAAAAAAAAAATTTTTTCACGAAATTTGGTGAAAACTTACCTTTGTATGTCCCAAACATACAGTAATTTATTTTTCCTTTCATTTTTGTTATATTCTCTACCTTTTCTAATGGGTTTCATCCTACTATATTTTTTTTTCACTTTTCACCATTTTTAAAATTATCGGCCCTGGTCTATAAGGGAAGTGCCAACGTCACAATCAACATAATCTGGTTTAAACACATTTTAATGAACTCCGGGGTGCGAGTGGTGTGTACCACTACCGGGTTTTAAGGTGCCGGCTACTCAGAGGTCTCAGGTTCAAATCCCGGTGGGGCAAATGTTTGTTTAATAAAAACGAGCATTGCTACCTACGTCATGGATGTTTACATATATTTCTAGATAAATACAAAGTATTCTATCCGTTACCCTATTATCCCATAACACAAGTCTTACACCCCCTTATTAATAAACGATGAATAAGCTTGGAAAATGTGTTTTATCCGTGCGGTGACGGAGAAAGAATAAAATTCACCGAACCTTTTCTTCCCGTGGGTGTCGTAAGAAGCGACTAAGGGATGTCGGAGCTTCCATCCGCTCTTCTGGTGGTAGGGTGCCTAACACCCGCCTGGTTTGTTACCACCGTGCGCATGGTGAAAAACCCGTGAAGTGCTGCTCGCGCGTTTCGGGGTCAGCCAGCGTACAACCAGAGCTCGAGTGGAAGTTGTCGCGAAGGATTCGGTCCAGGGGAGGCATCCGTCGTACCGATGCCGGGAGGACTGCATCGACCCGTCGGCCAGGGAGACCCGTAGAAACGGCTGCCCCGCTGGCCGCCCGTGGCACAGTACAGGGGCCCAAGCGTTCCTAACCAGTTTGCGAGGCTGCCCCATCATGTCACGTATAATCTCGGGGTGGACCGTCGTGCCGGTTGGTGACCGGGGCGTGGGGTCCCGGCGGCCACTCCCGGGGGGGTGCGGGGGCCCTTCCGTCCGGCGGGTCGACGCATCTCCTCTGCAGGTAGTCAATCGGGAAAACAAACCTCCCTTATTTGCCCGGACTCTTCGCGACAGCGTCCGCTCGTTTTCGCGTCTCTTTTTTTCATTTCCACCATGGCAGCCTCAATAACAAAGTTTGGACGTACAGCGGTGCACACCCCCACGCCTTCAACGCTGTTTGAGGTCGAGTTCTGCAACATACGCGGACTCCACTCTAACCTCAACGCTGTCCACCACCATCTCGAGACAGCACGGCCAGCATTGTTGTTCCTGACGGAGACACAAATACTTCCGCCTGCTGACACAGGCTACCTTAATTATCCCGGCTACGTGCTTGAAGAGTCCTTCAAAGCGAAAGCCGGTGTATGCCTGTATGTTCGGGCGGATGTTTGTTGTCGCTGTCTCCGCTGCTTGGAAGATCCCTCCTTCTCCATGCTGGGGGTACACGTCGACTCTGGCCCCCTGGCCAGAGTCTACGTGTGCCCCTACAGATTCCATACTGGCGATGTTGAGACAACTCGACTTTTCGAACAACTTAGTCGGGCGGCAGATGACGCGCCGGAGCAATTTCCCAATGCAGAATTGGTGTTTTTGGGGGACTTTAATGCTCACCACAATTTGTGGTTAAGTTCCTCGAAAACTGACCATGCAGGGATCTCTGCTCACGCATTCGCTCTCACGCATGACTTGAAGCAGCTGGTCGATCAGCCCACCAGGATCCCAGATATTCCAATTCAAGCGCCTTCTTTACTGGACCTTCTGCTCACGAGCCATCCACAGGGCTATCAGGTTGTGGTAAGAGCCCCCCTGGGCTCGTCAGACCACTGCCTGATATCCGCCAAAGCACCACAGGCCAAGCCTCCGCGTCCAGCAGTGGTTAAGCGCCGTATTTGGCATTATGGGTCAGCAGATTGGGACGGTATGCGTGACTACTTTGCGTCCGTCCCTTGGAAGCAGCGCTGCTTCTGTGACAGGGACCTATCGGGTAGTGCCGTTGCCATTACTGAGGAGATTACAATGGGTATGGAATATTATATTCCTCATTCTGACATCATCAGTAAGGGCACACGTAACCTCTGGTTCAATGGTTCGCGTAAGCAGGCGGCATATCGTGCTTGGATCAGAGGCCGCGCTCTCAAGGATCCCGAGGTCGATTCACTCAAAGCAGCCTACAACTTTGCTTCCAAGACCTGTAAGAAGGCTTACATCAGAGCGGATGCCCAGCGTGTTGCACGTGTTGGCCAGGAATTTATAACGCATCCTGCGGGCTCCCGTAGCTACTGGCGTTTGGCCAAGGCCGTGCAAAAAAACTTCTGCCAGCCCTCGCTGCCACCTCTGAGATGCCCAGACGGACCACTAGCTCATAAGCCGCAGGAGAAAGCCGATAAACTCTTTGCGGCTAACTCCCGCATCGACGATTGCAATGCACCGCCACCATCATTACCTCACTGTGGCACAACGATGCCTGATATGAAAATCAGGCAGCGTGAGGTTCGTGCCGAATTGCAGTCACTTGACGTCCGGAAAGCTAGTGGACCTGATGGCATCCCAGCAGCAGTACTGAAAAAATGTGCAGCGGAGTTGTCTCCCGTGCTCACGCGCTTGTACCAATGCTCGTATTCTTTGGAGTGTGTGCCGGAGACTTGGAGAGATGCTAACGTGCAACCGGTGCCCAAAAAAGGGGATCGCTCAGACCCGGCAAACTACCGGCCAATAGCAGTCACCTCAGTTTTATGCAAAGTTCTAGAAAAGGTCCTTAATAACCATCTGACCCGCTACCTAGAGGATCACTCACTGATTAATGATCGTCAATATGGTTTTAGACCGAAACGATCGACGGGTGATCTTCTAGCGTACTTAACTCATATCTGGGGTAAGGCTATTGACAAGCGTGGCGAGTCGTTGGCTATCAGCCTTGACATTGCCAAGGCGTTCGACAGGATCTGGCACAAAAGCCTTCTCTCCAAGCTTCCGGCATACGGTCTGCCAGCCCAGTTCTGTTCTTGGGTAGCTGACTTCCTGCATGAGCGTAGAATTCGTGTCCTTACGGATGGTAGCAGTTCGCGGTTCATGTCAGTGAATGCCGGCGTTCCCCAGGGCTCCGTCCTATCCCCCACTCTCTTTCTGCTGCATATCAATGACTTGATTCCTCTTGGGAATATTCATTGCTATGCAGACGATAGTACAGTGCATGCGGGGTATCTCGGACAAGCAGCGGCTGGGCAGGCGGTAACCAAGGAGAAACGGGAGAATCTTGTCATTGAGCTCAATCAGGCTTTGGACCACATTTCCGAATGGGGTACCAGGAACTTGGTTGAGTTCAATGCCAAGAAAACGCAGGCTTGCGCTTTCACGGCAAAAACATCGCCATTCCTTCCCCTTCCCTCTCTTCAGGGCACAACACTACCGCTACAGAGCAACATTTCCATGCTCGGTATGGAAGTTCGCTCAGACCTGAATCCATCCAAACTCGGAGTCCTGAACAAGGTGCGGCGTTTTTTCAAGCCCGATCAACTGTGCTTGTTGTACAAAACGTAAGTGCGGTCCTGCGTGGCATATTGCTCGCACCTCTGGGATGGCTCCGCCAAGTACTTGCTCGATGCTTTGGATAATAATAATAATAATAAAAATCTTTATTTGCAATTAAATAGTTTGTACAGAACAATGTAAAACGTTAACAACTACATTAGTCAGAGACTGTGTCGCAGTTATTAGCGCCCCACCTCGAACATGATAACTAGTAACAATAAATACTAAAAATACTAACTTTAACATTTATAAAAACGTTTTTGCGTATGTGTTTGTGACTGTGTGTGAGTGTATGTGTGTGTGTGTGTGTGTGTGTGTGTGTGTGTGTGTGTGTGTGTGTGTATCTCTCTTTGTATTTTGTAGGTTTACATATTTTTTTATTTATTATTTTACTGTATAAGAGATATCTTCATATCGAAGGCTAAGCAGCCACTCATTTAAAATACTTTTACATTCACGATGTGGTAAACTGTAAATATGCAATTTATAATTAATTTTATTGTACAAAACTGAGCTAAGGTACAAATAATGCCGGATAGGTTACAGCGGCGCGCGATCCGAATCATAGGCGATGAGGAGGTGACTAAACACCTTGAGCCTCTTCAATTACGTCGTGACGTGGCGTCACTAAGCGCGTTCTATCGTCTGTACCACGGCGAGTGTTCTGAGGAGTTATTCTCTCTTATCCCACCTTCCCCTTTCCTTCAGAGGACCACGCGCGCTGGCCTACGTTGTCATCGTCTTACTGTGGCTACAATTCCAACGCGTACAAAGAAATTTGGTGACTCATTTCTTTGTCGCATTATCCGTAAATGGAATGCTCTGCCCGCTCACGTGTTCCCTCCCTCTTACAACCTGGGATCCTTTAAAAGAGGCGTGAAGAAGCAACATGCAGGCCGGCAGGGTGAGGATGGCTGGTGTGGCAGGTAGAACTGCTGTTTCAGCTATCTTCGCGTCTGGACTTCACCTTCACTTAACATCAGGTGGGTTGGAGTCATTTGTCGGACCTATCTATAAAAAAAAAACTCCATATTTTGTCTCCATTCATCAAATGACAAATGGAATTTGAGTGATATAAACAAAACATAGCGTAACTAGTCAAAGCTTATTCATCGTTTATTAATAAGGGGGCCAGTGTTCACTTTGGGGCTATGCTAATTGGCGTGTGTTAAATTTTTTGATGTGTAACATCTTTCCTCTCGCTTTCCTGCAATTTGTGGGAGTGATTTCGTGAAATGGGACGGAAGTGTGTAACAGGAAGTCGCGAAAGTGCGCGCTATTTTATTTGATTTTAGAACAAAATGTTCAAATGGCTTATTCCTTTTGTAGTTGTTTTTTTTATTAATATAAGGTGAGGTTTCAAATGTTACACATCATACGCGACTTCTGTAAGACTCGCTCGTTTTTTTTTAATATTTTCAACACACACCAATTAGCCTAGCCCCAAAGAAAGCACTATAAGGCTTGTGTTATGGAATACTAGTGTAACGGATAGAATACATATTCTGTATAGGATAACAATATTTTATATAGGAGTACAAATGCTTGTATTCATCACAAAAACATCTGTCCCCACCGGGATTCGAACCCGGGACTTCTCGAGTCGGAGACACCATGAAACCTGGCGTACACCCCATTCGGCATGTCGTCAAATATCTATTTATTAAATTTACGGAGCGCCAGTCAGGGGGGGGGGGGGGGCAATACCTTTTTGCTGTGTTTTATTTCTGTTGGTAAGTAAGTTTTGTGGGCTCCACTAGATAGGAGACGAGGTTAGGCTTAATTAGGAAAATTATTATTTAATTATCTATGCAAATTCATTTGAATTCAAATATTACGAATCTGTGATGTGACTGTTAACTTTCATAACTTACAACTTATAATAGGTAGGTACTAAACCTATGAGTCACGATGAGTACTTATATTTAAAATTATTAATTAAACAAATATATTTCTTACGTGAAATTTTCTATTTTTCGTGCATACAGACCCGCTACAGCGTTTAATTTCCAACCTCTCATATGAAAATTACGTAGACCATTTCTTAGTCTTTGCCGTTCATATGGCATATCAATACCCAACTTAGTCATATCGTCCTCTTCCAGAAGCAAAAATGTTCTTAGATCCATTCCACTGCTTTCAATTATCTGTGTCAATCTTTCGCAGTTCATTCCATAGAGTAGGTGGGGTATTTCAGATGCATAATTTGGTCTGTAATAAAAAGGAAATCGATTACTTCCATGATACATTAAAATAATTAGCAACATCACTTTGGTACATTTGGACAAAACAGAAAACTTTTCATAAGTCCTTTTGAACTCATGCAATAATAAGGAAGATGGCTAACTTGTTTTCTTCGTCTACCAAGTTGATTATCATAAAGTAACAGGTGATTTTTTCTTTTTTCACATACTCAAAACATTGCGGAGATATATATCTATTTGAAATGTTGCATGACGTCACGTCTTGGTACAATTTTTACTTAGAAATGACATCACGAGCATCGTTGGTGGGGCAACGATATTAAATACCCTAGATATACCACTAGTGCTGAAACTGTATCCCAATCAAGAATTGCTAGAACTCCACTCAAGCACTTCTTGGTTCACAGTCACGCACGGACCGTTGAAAAGTCAAGATGCCGCAGAGCTCCGTGAAAAAATGCGAAAAAAATACTTATAGTACGTAAAGTATCGTTTTTTCAACAGTTATCTAATCAATGTTTGTTAAATCAACGCACTTGAAATATTTTTTTTTCTGATACTTACCATAAACTGATTTAATATAAAATATTTATGATGCATGGTCGATTATACGTCGCCGTATAGCCGTCTTTTTTCCTCGCAGTCCGTACCTGCTATATTGCTAACAGGGCATTCAGAATTGCTCGTAGAGTAAAAAGAATAAGGTCTATATTCTTCCGCATATAGAAATGTCGTAACATTTAACGAGCTTGCATTTCGAACTGTCATAAGTCTTTGACGCATGCGTTTTAATTAAGATCTTATAGAGTTTGCATTAAAGGTAACTTTCAATGTTTATTTAAATAATGCCTTATATTGTTTTTGACCACGCGATCATCCTACGGAGCTCCGTGAATCGTGCAATATACCTTCTGGACACGTTTCGGCCACGATTTTGTTCGTGTTGTTGTATCTAGGGTATTTAATATCGTTGGCACCCACTCCCAAACTTTGACGCACTTTATCTTTGTATTTTTATGGTTAATTGCTAAAAGAAAATTAAGTGTCCATTATTTTCTGATAATCTAACCGACGACGGACTAAATAGAAATTCGTTTACTTTACCCTGACATTATCCCTATTAAGTATTTCACAAAATGAAGTTCCACTGAGCTGCTATTTGTTAAAGAAATAAATCAGTTGTAAAATTAGATTGGAGTAGGGCATTACTTTCTAACTAAAGGGTCACAAAGAAGATAATGTATGATGAAAAAAAATTAGGTCTTTGTTTCAAAAATATAATAATAATATGTCCTTGTTGCCAGCAAAGGAGATCATAGTAAGCCATTACGTACTCCAGTGCGTTGTTATAAGAAGAAGGTCGATTTTATACTTGGATTCAGCCTGCTTTAAATGATATAAATTACTTGAAAGAGATATATAAGAGTACACCAATTTTAGGATATCATAAAATATTATTAGTAATAATAACAACAAACATACTTATCTCCCTTTTTCATTCCAGGATAATAATCAAACCAGGACCTTATTTGGTTACTGTAAAAGCTTTTCTCTTCCTCATTATCATCAGTATCTGTTTTCTGGTACTTATTTAATATTTCAACAATATTGTGATAATCATGAGACATTGCAATATCTAATACAGTCCTATTGGATTTATCGACTTCATTTAATCTGGCACCATTTTCTATGAGCATTTCCAAGATTTCTGGCTGATTGTGGTGAGCTGCCCAAAACAATGCCTGTAAACTTTTTCAGATAAGTATTTATAGAAATAATTTGAGTATACCAAAATATTGTTCATAATGCGACAGTAAACCATTATTTTTAAATCTAAAGAAATCCTGTATGTTTCCTGCTATAAGTGTATTTTTGTCTAGTAAAAATTTCTTTAGGTTTAAACATAGTAATAAAACTGAAAAATAATAATTATTATATTAACCTTTTTGAAAAATATAATAACTTTTATTTTTAAGTTTTATTAATAAGTTCCGTTAGCATCGACATGTCTTTCACTAAGTAGACCATGTTTAGGTCAAAATACAGTAGTGAGACAACGCACCGTAAAACTATATGCGGACGTCGCATGTCTACTGACGTCTATTGACGTTTAAAAACATGTACAGGCAGTCCTCGTACTTACGGCATGTTAGGTTCTCGAAATACGCGACGTGTGTCGAAACGACGTAAGTCGAGACATCCCCACGGACGCCGGCCCAACGGACATTGACCTCGCGACAAGTGAATTCAATTGACGTATGCTTGAGGAATAGTGTCAAAACATTGTTCGATCGACGTTACTTAAAACGACGTAAGTCGAGGACTGCCTGTATACTCCGAATCGCAAAAACTGTAGGAATCAAAAAATAAGCACACGCGTATATTGTGCGTAATTTTTAAACAATCTTGTTTCGACCGCGCGATAACGACGCCACGCCACAAACTGTTCGGTTAAAAACTGTACAAACAATACCAGATCCACACTTGAAAAACATGTAACTTTAAACTAACAAAATTACGCAACTATCTTTGCGCTTGCTACCATTTATTTTCATTAATTACATTTTAATAGCTACAACAAAATATCTCTCTCCATGTGCGCCCCGCCCGTGCGTCACATGATCGTGTATGTCTTTCGCATCGTCATCAAACTATCTCCCTCCCTCTCGTATAAATTTGAGGAGCATCTGTTCAAAAGGGGCTACTTCCATGAGTAAATGTTGATATAAAATTAAAAAAACGTATACTGATTTGATGATGTATGTGAAATGGATTTTTTTTATTCAGGTAATTCATGTGGAGGCCACCTATTTTTAGGGTAAATTTATTTTTTATTGTTATTATTAAAAAGCACAAAATTAAGTTATTAAAAACGGAATTAGCACTTTTTGGTTGGATATTCGGAAAATAGCATCTTTTGATCAGGAACAAATAAAATAATACTAGCATTAACAAATAAACTTTTTGAAGTTGTTTTTTTTTAATTGGAAGCTACATTTATGCCAAAATATATAAAATAACTTGGCATTGACTACTTGTCATTACTTTTTAACATAAAAAAACATGCAAATTAGATAGAGTTTGCCATAACGCATGTTTTTTTTTATCTTAAAAAGTAATGACAAATAATCTATGCCAAGTTGTTCTATATATTTGGCATAAATGTAGCTTCCAATTAAAAAAATACCTCAAAAAGTTTGATAAAAAAAAAGTGTCAATTAAAAACCTTTATCTGAGCTTAAAATAGCACCGTTTGAATAGAACCGCGAATTTAAGTTCAAATTTGAAGGGGAAATAATCAATTTCGATCAAGACTAAACACAGACTGTGATAGGATCTTAGAAAACCAGTAGAATTCACGAAAAAAAAAATAAGTCAGTAAATACGGAAATAGCCCCATTTGAACAGACGCTCCTCAATTGACATTGAACCTTACTGCCACGACTTAACTTGTTCAAAGTTAATTGGAACAATGGTGTCAATGTTATCCTATGATGTTTTATAGTTAGAGATACGTCATACACTTCTAATTTGGCAATACGAAAGTCAGGTAATTGCCCCACTTGCATTCAGTCGGGCATGCTCTTCCGCCGCGACTACACTTCTAAATATTATACGTTTTCCAGACAAAAAGCCCTATGTTTGTGTGTTTTTAGATAGTACACAAATTAGACGGGAACTTTTAAAGACAAGAAAAAAGGGTCATTTCATTCTTAAGTAAAGTTTTAAAGAAGTAAAGTTTTTATTTTGACAGTTGCTGACATCGTTGACATGTGGAGGCTGAAAAGCGACATGTCAGATTTTCTCATGCATGAGAGTGAAAGAGACTACTTTAGTGCGCTCTATTGGCGGCTGTTGCCAAGGGAAGTTGGGGCGGGGTATACTTGTGCCATTTTAAAACGCAATAATGTTGTCATTGATGTTATCTGTTTTCGTTGATGTATATGTAAAACACAGCGCGCCGCTCGGACGGTTTTTGATGCACCTACGTTAGGCGATTGGTAGTCTATTTGTTTTTATAGGTCAATGCAAAAAGGAGACCAAACATCTTCCTTTTTCGCTATTTTATTATTTTTTTCACTGTTCTGTATACAGATGCCTATCACACATTTTTACTGTTTCATTGAAATAAGCTGTATAAACGATAGATTGTTTTTTATTTGCCCATGCTTTTCCACCACTTCATTTTCCATTAACATATCACACGCTCGGTTTTCAAACAATGTGACACACATCATCAGCGTCATCTACTTAATTCTAGGTCTGTGATTACTACATTACAAACATTTATAAAATCTTATCTAATACATTTAGAAAATCTTAATAAATGATTTAATATCAATAAGATACCTTGCTTGTTTAAACTATGTGTACTTACTGTCCAGCCTTGCTGATCTCTCATTTCAATATTCACTTTTTCTTCCAATAGTTTTTGAACAACAGTACCACAACCACTACTTATTGCTCGCATTAGAGGTGTCTGACCATATTTGTCACCAATATTTAAAATACAGTTTTTTTTAAATAACATAATAATAATATTGAAAATGGTATCTTTGTTTGCACTACTATTAGAACATGCTGCCATAATAGGAGTTACTGAATCTGTAAAAAACAAAAAATAAATTGTTACCCACCTTTCTGATTGTAACAACTGGCGTGGAAATCTGGAGGATCCCAAATTAACTGAAGTCAATGCAATTTTAATTCCTAGTATGTAGTTTGACGGCAGAAAATTTGTGGTCTATGAATATAAAAATTTAATAATCTGAATCATTTCTGTTATTTTCAAATCTTATGTGTATTTTTCAAGGCCAGCATTTAGTGTCAAATGAATATAAATACCAACAATTAGCATGCATATAATTTTAAAATATTCTAGTCATGAATGAATGGGTGCCACATTATATTTGAGCATAGTGTGGTTTTCATAGAGCAATATAATGTGCATTGGTTTTTATATGAAAAGCTATGGCAACGGCAACAACGGTTTTCCATGCTATGAAAGTTCATAGTTTATGATAAAGATAATAGTCTAGATATAGATAATAGTTTTGGGGGGAGGGGCGGCTGATGTGAGCCCAAGTGTACGTTGTTGGGCAATTCACGTCTACCGTCAAGTGTCCACGTCGTTCACCCCGGTAATACTTGGATCTGCTAACAGGCAACGTACACTAACATCTACCCTGGGATCCTCGTAGCTGAATTTAGTGATGCTATCCCATTGATGCACTCCAACATCATGGGAGATACCTCCTGTGACCCGTATTCCCTTCTTTCCAACTCCAATTAATCGTTTAACCCCTCCCACGTCCTAGATCCTGTCACTCCCCAAGGCCGACCCTAACAAAGGCCTTCGGCTCTACCGGGAAAATGGGAGGCGGCCCGGTAGACTATTAGACTCTCCTGCGCTAAGGCCTGCGCAGTTGAGCGCCGTAAGGGGGGATGAAGGAGTCCTGGAGGGTTGAGTGAAGCGAGGTCGGCGGTAGTACCTTCGCGACACAACACGCCCTCTTTGGTCCGGATTTCAACCGAAACGGCAGCCCCTTTGGGTAGCGCCAGAGGGGAAACGGTCACGCGTCCCGTCAGAGGGCCGCAGCGAGGAGTGGGGGGATCTGGGGCGGCTTGCCGCTCTGGATGGTTAGGGTCATGCTGACGAGGCAAGAGTGTGTGGAACAACTGGGGTACTCTGAACCGGTAACCCAGCCACACACTTCGAGCTTCCGATGTCGCACCTGACACCAACTCTCTGCTCCTATATCCAGTCGGTAGTCCTAGTGCACCACTATGGGCACTCCCAAATGTGCGGGCTCCAAGGAGAGTGGGAAGCTGACTGGATGAATTTTAATACCACGAACAATGGACACTAACAGGTTCAACGTTCCGCCAACACCCGATGGGAAACCAGAGGGTACTGCTGCTCGCTCGCAGACCGAGAAATCGGAATGCCAGGTTGAGAAAAGCAACACTACACCTCAGATTGAGGACACATTACAACTGCTAGAGCAGAACTGGACGGTCGTGGCCCGGAAAGGAGCGAGGAAGGTAGAGGAAACTCGAACCCCTGCGCCATCCGGTCAGACCTTCAGGCGTTTAGAGAGGCAGAGGGAGCGGACGCGAAAAAGACGGCAGCTCAAACGGGTCTCCCGTATGACGGCCTCTTCTAGTGACCGTATTGCCCAGTCGGAAGACAAGGGCTTAGGAACGCCAGGGGGAGCGAAAGGCAGCCAGCTGCCCAAGCAACCCCAGGCGAAGCCGGGCCCGAGTCGGAAGGTGGACCACCCAAAGCCAAAGGGGAAAGGACCCGCGAAGACGAAGTCTGGGGCCAAGCGGGCTAGGCTCGATGAGACAGTGTCTCCTCGAGGCGAATCCAAACGGCCTAAGACGACGGCGACCGAGACCGCCCCAAAATCCTACGCGGCTGCAGCGGCCTTCCCGGCTCTCATCAGATGCGCCGTCACGTCGAAGACCGGGTTTATCTCGTGACCGACGGCGGAGCAAATTGAGGAGAAGCTCGAGGAAGCCTTTTCACAGGCAGCGATGAGCACGGAACGTCCGGCCTGTATGAGGGAGGGTCTAGCATTTTGCGGGAAACCCCTCTACGCGGACGGGTGCCTTCGCTTTACTTGCACCAACACTGCAACGTTTGGGTAGTTTCAACAGGTGGTACGAGACCTCCACGACTCGGAGCTGGGATAGCTTGTTGTCCTCCGGGACGACGAGATCCCCAAGAGAGTCAGGTGTGGTTTTGTGCTGCCTAAGCTCTGGAAACACGACCAGGCGTTGCTAGGCAAATGCCTACAGATCGGGAATCCAGAGCTGAAACCCGAACGTTGGCTGCTTAACGGCATCCAACAGCAGCCTACCATCGGGGCCACATTCGTTGTGGTTTCGATCCCTGAGGACGTTGTGCCTGCGATCCTGGCTAGGGGACGCCGACTCAGCTTTATGTTTGGGTCGGTGTACCTGAAGTTCAGGGACGCCAAGGGGAAGTACGTCGACACTTTGCCGACGTCCGACCCCTCAGCACCACTCGGGGCTCAAACCACGGCGAACGTTACACCAGCGCCCCCAATACCATCCACATCTAGCGCTGGCCCCACGGACACCGTCGTTCCACGTGCCTCGTCACCGGCTGTCGAAGCTCCGGGACCCTCGCAGGTGGCGTCTTCGCCGCTTAGTGAGGAGTGTCTCCTGGAGCTCGACGGGCTGGGGCTTGAGGGCGTCGACTGCCAGGACGATGGCGTCCCTCTGCAGTAGTGCAAACATACTGCAAATAAATCTCCACCACAGCGTAACCGCTACGGCTCAGCTTCGACGGTGGTTGGAGACCAACAACACAGCAGTCGCACTAATCCAGGAGCCGTAGATTAGGAGTGGCACGGTGCGAGGACTCTCCAGCTTAGGAGGTAAGCTCGTTCAAGCCACTTCTAGCGACGTAAGGTCCTGCATATACATTTCCAAAAACATCAGAACACAGCCCTTAATGAATTTCTGTTCCAGAGATCTCTGCGCTGTAAAACTGACCCTAAACCAAGATAATAACAGTTGTGACCTGATCATAGCTTCTGCATATATGCCTGACAGCGAGCGGGCCCCACCAGAAAACGTTGCGTCTCTGGTCCGCTTCTGTGCTCGGGAAAACGTAGAACTGATCATCGCGACAGACTCCAATGCCCATCACCCTGTGTGGGGAATGGAACAAAGCAACAACAGAGGTAACCAATTATTTGAATTCCTCCTGACTACTAACCTAGAGTTAATCAACACAGGCAATGAACCTACCTTCGTAGGCAGACGGTGCAAGACCATCATAGACCTGACCCTCGCGACACCAAAAGCAGCAACAGCTATATCTGGCTGCAATGTCTCCGATGAGGCATCATGCTCAGATCACCGCTGGATCCGCTTCACACTACTGGTAGGAACTCTATCTCCTACACCCCAAAGGTATCCCCGGAAAACCGATAAACACCGCTACGCACAACTACTGGCGGACCTTCTAAGAAACAACTTCGGTAAGGGCAGAATTGAAACCACGGAGCAGCTAGAACAACAGGTAAAACACTTGACAAACAGCATAACGCATTGCTACGAAGAGGCCTGCCCCCTTAGACTCCCGAACTCGAGAGTATCCGGAAAACACCACTGGTGGGGGCCGGAGCTCGAGAGATTGAGAGGAAAGGTGAGGAAGTGCCTTAACAGAGCAATGAATACATACAACGACACAGACTGGGACAACTACAAAGCTACTAAAGCTAAGTACAAAAAACGTATCAGATACTGGAGAACAGCCTCCTGGAGGAACTTCACCGAGGAGATAAGCTCCACCAACCAGGCAAACCGGGTAAGGAAATTGCTGGCCAAGCAAGGCCCTGGCGTGCTGGGAAGCCTGCGTCGACCTGACGGCACATTGTTCCACAATCGTGCTGACTGCGACGCTATCCTCCTAGAAACCCACTTTCCGGACTGCCAGCTTACAGAGCAGGTGACTTGGCAAGATGAACCTCCAAGTACAACAGAAGGATGCTGGAGACTAGCAGAGACGGTAATTAGTGAGGGCGTATTTTCGCTCGACAAGAGGAGGGCAAACGGGTGCACATTTTTCATACGGTCGATGACATAGATCGTGTTTTTGGGGGCGAATCTGTTGAACAAAATAGTTTGTAAATGTTTAATTTATACTAATATAATTATATATACATCAATACGTATAATTTTCGTCATAGTTCAGGTCAATAAAAACACATTTAAATATAAAAAATGTATATTGTTCTATAGTCTCCTCACAAAATATTTAAAGAATATATTACCATTTGTGAAATTCATGTTGGGTGGTTATACTTCTTATTATAATTTCAAATTTGAACTTATTACTAAAACTGGAAAAAATGATTAAGAAGTCGATAAAAATTGGTTTTTATAATGCAGGATCCCTTGGTACTAATCATGATAATTTCATAACAGCAGTTGCACGATATGACATGGACTTATTAGCCATTAACGAAACCTGGCTTAGAGACGACGACGATGGTCGCGCGCCCTTACTACCTGGATACCGACTACGACACATTCCGCGACCTCCAGGCTTGCGGTCGCGCGGTGGTGGGGTAGGCTTTTATATTAAGCGTGGAGTGAACGTTCGACTATGGCCCCACCCAGTTGACCCATCGCACAAAAATGTTGAGCAAATGTGGCTCAAACTGACCCTTAACGGAACAAAGCTTATGATCGGCACTGCATACAGACCTCCATGGATGAATATTGACTTATTTTTTGATGCTATTTCAGATACAATTAGTTCAATTCCAAAATATGACAATATAATATTAATGGGTGACTTCAATATTAATTTATTAAATAATAATGACAATAATATTTCAAAATTTAATTCTTTTTTATCTTGTTTTAATTTATTGCAAAAAGTTTCAGATCCAACACATTACACTACAAACAGCCAAACCTTAATCGATGTTATATGTACTGACTTAAATATAAAAAAAATTACATCAGATCATGTGGGGTCATTATATGGTCACTGTTTGCTGGTATGTGAGTTTAATATCAAGCGTGAGAAATATCCTCCTCAAATAGTTAAATATAGG